GCTTATCAAGTCATCATGTCAGAAAACTACACGTGTTTCTCGCGTGCAGTATTAAGCCATCATGATAGACTCCGACAAAGCGGTGGAGTCAGATTGGCTAAGGCCTCTGGTATGATCCTTAGCTTGATGATCACGATGATGGCACGCGAGCAGAACAAAGGGGAGGGGACACACAGTTTCTCACTGGTAGTTCTACCCTTAAATTTGTTGTGAGCTCCCCCCATCGTAATTTAAGACCTCCTTTGACCTTGCAATTGCAATGTATGACCATCAGCGTTGCAAAGAGATACAAGACAGCGCCGTAGCCTCTTCTCGCTTTGTAGTCGAAGAGCCATTCAGAAGGGTAGGGAGTTTACAAAAAGTACGTAAGATACACGCACCCAGTGTCTCTCATGCTAAACTGATCCCTACTTGATCTTTCAGATGGCTAGTTTCCTGCCCAAGACCGGTACGTTCTGTGTAATACCTCATGCAGAATCGGAGCCTCGCTGATAGTTGCAATAACAGATAGTTTCATTTGGAATTGGACAGAGCGCCACGGTCGCAGTCCACACTCGGGAGGATTCGATGACAGTGATGACGAAGTGGCTCACATTCTCCACCCCTATCCTCAAGCACGTAGACCAGCACACACGCGGTCCACCCGCAAATTATCATTTTATTTTGGAATTGCAATACTTGGGCTCATCCTCGCAGTATCTGCGACGTTGATAGTATGGCACCCTCCGAAATCACTGTTGCCTTTTACCACTTTGTCTTGGATTGTGTACGACGGGAAGGACAAGAGCTTGCATGATGTTAGAGAGGATTACGAGGAACAGATTCAGGCCTTGGAGGACATGTCGCGAGATACTGTGACGCGCGTTGCCAATCTTGAAGTCCAGATAGGATCGATGCTGAACAATCAGGAAAATATGTCCGAAGACCTCGCCAGTGACAGAAAAGGCCTAGCTCACCTAGAAGAGACAATCCTGAAACTTGAGTTAGTTTCTTGCGAAGAGTTGCTTCGCCGCGCATACATACAATTCTCAAAAGACTATGTTGGGAAAGAGGATTTTGCTCTGAAGTCAGCAGGAGCACGAGTAGTAAAAAGCCTAACCTCATCATCATCATTATGTCCCTCACGATCATTTTGGCCATTCAGCACCTCTCCACAGTGCACCCACAACCCGGACATCGTGTTGAACGAGGACTTGCACGCGGGATCATGTTGGAAAGTCGAAGAAACACCATCTCAACTGGGTATTGCATTGGCGGAGCCAATCGTCATCACGGATATCACCATCGACCATATCCCCCAAGAATTGACACACGAGATAGGGCTTGCCCCAAAAAATATCGTTGTCTGGGGTGTTCTTGATGGGCAGGACAATATCGAAAAACTATCTGCATATCCTTTAGAACAGGTTAACGGGGAAGTGAGAACACTTTGGGAGTCGAAGCATCGCCCACCTATCAAAAATGGCCTCAATCTCGTCCCACTTGCTTCGATAAAATATGACATATACGCTGAAAGCCATATCCAAACATTCGGTGTGTTCGACTTCGTTCAGTACTTGGGGCTGGATTTCGGTATCGTGGTCGTGGAATTGCTTGATAGTGAGGGGGACTTACCGCATGCATGTCTATATCGTGTTCGTGTGCATGGAAAACGGCGGATGATCGTGGATGTAGTCTAGGGAAGCGCAATTCATCAGGAGAGAACGGTGGTGTAAATGCAAAATAAAATTACGTTGTAACCAGTGTGTGAGCAAACCTTGCAATTGACCAGGGGGCCATGACGAAGTTTGAGATTTCAGAATATCATGGCGCTACCTGAGCTAGCTATCGCAGACACAAGCGGACTTGCAACTTGTGGCGCATGCGCAGAGCCATGCATATGGTGGCCTGTAGGTATAGGTTGATCATTTGGTTTCGAATTCGGCACAATGTCCCTTCGATACAAACCTCGCTGGCGACTGCAAGAACACTCCAATGTCATAACATGCCTAGCCTTTAGCCCTCACGGAACGTACATAGCTGCAGGTGGAGTAGATGGCAAGCTTTCGATATGGTCTTACGACCTGGGACGTCTTCTTTATGTTGTATCTGGACATGCGGGCGTGCTATCTCTCAGCTGGATAGGACCATCCGAACAGAGTTTACTATGCGGGTTACAAGATGGGACGGTGTTGTCCGTTGAAATAGACCAGGTATGTCTGTTCTGTTTGACGCTATAGAGCCGTCTCCTTGTTCATCGTGAGGACAGAGCCTTACTGCCACGGGGTATTTTGCCCATCAATACCCTGTTGAATGCATTTCTATCTCGGGCGATACCGTCGCAACTGGTGCCCATAAAGAAGTTCATGTTTGGGAATTCCGAGAAAGAGGTAAGTCTTTTTTTCATTTAATCGAACGCTGTCCCTTATGCCATTCATTGGAGCAAATTGGCGTCGAGTCTCCAAACTTGATTTGCCACCTAGCGTAGGAAGCAACAGAAGTGATGAAATCATCGTCACCTCTTTGCATTGGGCTCGTACCAAGTATTCTCCCAACACCTTATTGGTTTCTTACATGCATCATGGAATCGCGTAATGGTTTCTACCCCCTGCGGCTTTCTTGAACTCTAACCTTCGTCTATTAGATTCTGGGACATTTCTTCGCGCATGATTCTTCACTTCATTTCCGTTAAGACACTTGTGTACGTATCATCCTCTTTTAAACGATCATTATTATTTCTCAACTCGGCTCAATGTAGTGCTAGCACAAGCCTTTCTCCCCGCCACCAATATTTGGCAGTTTCCAGTATTCATAACGGATTTGATATATATGACTTGAATTCTGATGCACCAATCATGTCTTTCAATCAGCCTACATCTAAAGGTATATGTATCCCCGTTTTGTTTGCTCATCATGGTTTTGCTGTCTTAGGCGGAAGCACCGAGGGGAAAGCTAGGCTATGGGCTATTGAAACAGGCAACCTCATACATACACTTCATCACTCCGGTAAGGATTCAGGCTACCTGGTAACGGCTCAATTAACAAAGATGAAGATGATGACACCATCCAAGCCATCGCCGTGCGTGTCACAGTACTCTATTTAAAATGTTGTTAGCTGACCTAGTCTTTCCTGTTTCTCTAGGCACACTACGATGCTAGCGGAGACAGATTTATGATTGCTACAGGATCACACTCGCCAAACGATAAACATTATATACAATTGTGGCATGCTCAAGATATCTGTCAGTCTGCAGTGTCGATAGATGAGGAAGTACACTAACACTACACCCAGACCGTGATAATATCCCAGCTCGGCTGATGACATTATTATCACCTCCGGCGCAGCTACAAGATCATCATAATATGTCATGGACACACTGGATTGCCTGGTTTATTTTCTTGTTTATTGGTTTTATCCTGTCGTGGCTTTTCGTGTATTGGAAGGACAAAACAAGTATATAGTGCTATTATGCTGCAATCTATATAGTACGTATTCAACTGGGGAGAATGGGCGAATTCCGATGCTTGTATTGTTTTTTATAAGTTCCTTCTTGCACCAAAGAAGGTTGGTTACCTTCCGTTATAACGAGATATCTAGTCGAACCAGACTCCATGGTGAATTGCTGGCCGTCTTTCACTGTAACCCATCCATCATCCCAACGCCATACCTGACACTTGCTATTTACCCAATGGATGTACAAATCACCTCGCTCAACACCACGTATGTTGGGAATGGCAACACACGCCGAAGATTTTGACTCGAACCAGGAATATTCTCCCTCGGCACCCCTGAACTTATGTGTTTTACGAGACGAGACCTTGACGAAATTAGAAAGGACAATCAAACAACCGGTCAACATCACACTCACCACCAGTAGTTCGGGATTGTTGCTCGACGTGGGCGTTGTTTCGTTGGCCTCGATATTACCGGTGGTCGGGATGCTAGGCAATACACTTTCAACCTCTACTGATTAAATTATAAGGGTGTTCCGACCTTGGAAGATTAACGAGTTCTTTGTGATGCTGCTCTTTATGATTTGCAGGATTTTCCAAAATTCTGCACAGAATTATATATATTAGCCTGCAAGAAAATAATGGGTGATTAGAAGGAAATTGACCTGCACCTTTTATAATTAGGGGAACTTGAAGCAGCACGGAAAGATCGAAGGACAGTCGCTTGCGGTGGCCCTGTTGCGGTTGTATATGCATGCCTGGGCGGTGGAAGGTCCAACCGTGTCACACTCCTCTTTTGCAGAGGTGCCTGGACTCGAAATATCCAACGATCGCTGTACTCTGTCATGGTACATGCAAGCAGATGTGCCAGTGATTCGGAAACTTTGAAAGAGCCGTGATCATGACTAATATGTGCCAGACTCGGACGTGCCGCCTCAGCGGCTGAGGCTTCCAAGTCTTTGTGCCACAACTTGACATCAATCTTCGTCCCATCCTACTACTAGTGCTGCACTTTCAGCGTAACACACACCCAAAGCTACGAGATTCAGAGGTAAGATGACGAAATATCAATTCTTCATTATGATTGACTCTTAAGCGTGTTTTGGGTGTCACACAGCACAATTTGATGGACCCGGACAGGCTACAGTCAATTCGAAACAGCTTAGAAGAGCTGATGACGCGACACCCTGCATGCCAAATTATGGACGATGGTCCCTTCACACTCCCTGCCAGTCACGCAGGTGAAATCGTACAAGAATGTTTAAAGATACATAAAGCTGGTGATATCGATAATGAGAGCTTGCTGAAGTATCAACACGCCGATAGAGATTTACAAGCTCAAACTATCGCTGATATCGCAGCATTGAACAACAAGACCGAAACTCGGCTAACGTGCGAAAGGCTTCTCCGTATTGTCCTCCAGGCGAAGATCATGTTGGGGTCGACACTACCACCTGACTGGTATGCGTTCGAAACGCCTGGTCTTTATTTTCTGATCATGATTTATTTTGCTTAACCGTAGGGCCAGTGACACGAACCATATGATGAACTCGATGGTATACGAGGATGCGCAAGTAAAGTCGCGAGAAATCTGTGATCTGAAGAAAAAAATAAAAGCCTTGGAAAGCTGGATCGGAAACATCGAAGAAAAGATGTTAGAGTGTAACGAAGACACTGAATCAATAAAGCAGAAACAGGGGAGCATTGTACGAGATGAGGTGAGTTGTGATTGAGACGTGCCCGTTCTATCAGTTGTTCTAAGTGAGGAAGAATAGGCAAAGAATGCCACTGTCGTAGCCAACCTAGAGGGTGATCTATGTAGTCTGCAGTCTAACTTGCGAGAACATCAAGAGCGGTCAGAGCGTCTCATTTGCAGAAAATTCAGTACGTGGTCTGCAGTTTTCAAGTCTGGACACTCATTATTATTTTTGGCCAGCCACCTTAAAAAACCTATATATGCGTCTACAGCAAGTGGATCTCGGAGTTCTAGCGCATACCCAGGAAGAATTCGGCAAGCATTTGTCAGAAATGAAAGACCAGATATCCAACTTGTCCAACCAGCAAACCTCTATGACTAGGGAATCAGAAGTGCTGCGGGACGAATTGCCTACCACACGCGATGATAGGACACTGCATGAAACAAGATTATCTGATTTGGAGTCCATTTTCCATATATTGAGATCTGATCTCGATTTTTTGCTCGAAGCTCATAGGAAGTCCCGTTGCAATCACGAGAATAGAGAAGTCCCGCGTCTTCATCTTCCTGACTTGGAATTTGAATATGCGCCTTACATAGCTCCCAAGGACACTCCAGTAAGTCACTCAACAAACTAATCACGGCTCCTCAATCACTTCTACAGTTTCTATAGACATATAGTTTGGCTTCGGAAACCCCTGATGGGGCTATCACACTAACGGTAGGAAAATTTGCTTACCATCGACCTCTGAGTATTTATTCACGTCTTGGAGAAGCTACGAACAGGTAGTATGATTCATATTCCAGGAGATGTGATGGGCAACGCATCATCCATCTCTGACGTCAAGCTATCCCTCATAATATTGGAGCACTACTATAGGCTTGCTATTGGGCTGCTTATATGGGCTTGCACGCACCCAATCCTAATGCCTTTGTCGCTACTCTCCATCGCATTAGTCTTTATGTTTTTGATGGGAATGGGCCTACGGCCTGCTGTGTCACCGTTTGAGGGTGATCGCCCAATCTGGCAAAAAATCCATGCAGATATATAGAATATGCGAATTTTTATGTACCACATTCCACTAGATTATAGATAAGTACTATAGTACATGCCAGACCCCTCCAAAAAGTTCGATTCCTTCGTGCTCACAGACGTCAGGGATCGCCTCTAGGATGCAGCCTGTGACTGTAACGGATAGCGAGTCAACAGCGAGGCGAATGGGTGCATGAAAGACATCCGAGACTTCGGGTGATTTGGCGATGCTGAGGGATCCAGGATAATCGTAGGGGATGTTGAAGGTCATCCAAAGACGGGCAAGTGTGCTGGTTTTCATTCCAGTTGTGAACAATGAAGAGTTGGAGTGTGCAGTTGTATGATAAAGGAAAGACCAAAACAGCGCCTCGTCACGAAAGTGAATGAGGAAAGTTCTGTTCTGGCGCTCGTAGTGTACCACCGAGCCTTGACGAGCGACCTAAAAACATGTTTAGATTATGAATGAGAAGGAAATCTAGATTTTAGCCTTACTGCATGGCCCAAAATCGGTCGAAGAGTGACCGGGTCGGCCGGAACGTTGAGCTGTTGCACGATGACAATGTGTTGGGACTTCAGAAGAAGCCATGCTGATCATGATCATTAAGGTTTAGTAACGAAAAGGAGCAGTAAAACATAAGATGACGTACGGGTGTCATCCTTGTCGCCAGCAATGAGCATGATAGAAGCTTGGTCTACATTCCCAACAGTGGTAACAGTATTACCCCATGGCTTGGATATCCCGGCAAAGGTGGTAGCAAAGATGACAGGAGCGCTAGCCAAGGTCACAGACATAGTAGTTAGATAAGTATGGAAGATCCAGATAAAACGGGTGCGGTGGGATGGCGAAATTGGTGGGACATACCACAGGATACGTTGGCTTTTTGTAAGAACGGAAGGTGGCTCATGGGTCATGGGCAGGAGAAAGAGGAAGAAAGAACCTTTGTACCCTCTCGATCATATCGATAATGGGACCTTGTGAGCTCGCGGAGTTGAGGGAGGTCATCAGGTAGCTACCACCTCGGTGCAGTCTCTGATATTTCAAGATCGGAAGGGAGTTACGGGTAGCTACTTTCATTGCTGTTATTTCGTCCGTTTGTTGTTTTTTGTTTTGTTTTCGAGTGGTTCTTTCGGTGCTTTCTTTTTCAGAGTGAGTCGAAGGTTTAACTACCACGCGTCTGCTATGCATCAGCGCAAAGAATCCTTTCACTGCTCAACACATGAGAAATTCCGCGAGGCTGGTACACTTGTAATACAGTTTGATTATGAAAGGGCTGAAAAGGCTGCTATTCGAGGCTCTGTTACAATAAAGAGAAGTGTGAGGTCATGTAATTGCTGGTTTGACTATTGCAGTGTGCGACAGTGGTGGCTCTATAAAGAAAACCACAGCGGTGCTGATGATGTGGCCAGGCCAGTGTCAGCCTTCACAAATCAAAGCTATACAAAGCGAGTACATAAAACTGGTTAGTGGCATTTCACGGTGTGCGACAGTCATATATTTGGCGCTCTGCCATCATAGTAAACATATCTTGAATATGTGGATAATGACGGCTATGACACCTTGGCTGAAAGTCGGACACCACATAGAATATTGCTGGCCTTCCATGAAATGGTCTCACACATCAGCATCTTGATTTTTACAGCTATGATTGACAAGTGTAGCGTACATGGTAAATTTTAACACCCTCACCTCTGGCGCACTTTGTGGCATCAGCGCGACTTTTTTCCATGCCGTGGGCTGGCACGTGTCTGTCGCAACGGGGGATTTCGGCCATTGCTCGCAGTGTCATACTTGTCTAGTTTCCTGACGTGCCTAGCATGGAACAAATCCACATACACTGATATCCAAAGAAAACAAACCCTTCACCTCCGTCCATAAAAGAGAAAGCGCCACAATAAACTCATCGCCTTCCAGTTCCACCAACCGTAGAAACAATGTCAGATCTGGGTCCCCCTCACCCAATTTTCCCCGCCCTGACCTCCTCCACGGTCCTCGCCTTTCAGTTTTCATCCTGGTATCCTATTTTTGCGAAATCGAGCATCAAATCGACCATTATCCGACCACTCAGCGATGTTTTCCGGGTGTATCTCGATACGGACGGAATATATATCCCAGAAGGCTCTGAGAACGCGTGAGGCGGACCTTTCTTCTCTTGTATGTTCGTTTGTGATAAATGTGCTGATGCTACCGAATAATAGGTGCCCAAAGAGCTCGCTTGTGGATGACAGTGAGGACGGAGATGAGGATGAGGGTGATGTACCGCGGTTTGCATTTCCAGAAATCGACCTGCGTATCAGACAAGCAATCCAAGAGTACGGAGGCGTATTTCCCAAGCTTAATTTCTCTTCGCCAAAAGTAGGTTCGATTGCTGGCCTCGCATCATTCATTACCCTTTGATTCACTTACATCACAGGACGCATCGTGGCTCTTGTCCACATTCCATCCGCTCAAATGCACATCCCCAGCAGACGTCTACCTCCTCCTCAAATCCTCATCATTCGTCTCGCATGATCTTGATCTCGCCGCTGTATTTGACGGATGTATCGATGTTTGTCGCGAAGCAGAACCGGTTGAAGGAGGGATTACTTGTGAAGGAAAGAGTCATGATATATGGCCTGCCTACGAACTTGAGCTGGTGTTAAGGAAATGGTATCCCATCGATCGCGGTCGAGAGGTCCGATGTTTTGTTAGAGAAAGCAGACTCATAGGTCTGTTGTTGCTTTGTATCATTTGCCCCCGTTCAGGAGGACTAAAAATGTTCCTTTGTTACAGGCGTCTGTCAACGCGACAACGAATTCTATGAATTCATGAACGAGGAGAAGACAAGGGAGGTTATCGTATCCACTATCTACCGGTTTTGGGAGGAGAATATCTCAGATAAATGGATAGGCGGTCCAGATTGTGCGTCCTCCTGTAATCCTTTCTCTCTCGTGCAATTCATCCCCCTGCTCCTTTGTATATATGTTTGCCCACTCAAAACCACATCGGCGGGTAGACGTCTTTGACATACTCCTCACCCGCGATCTGTCCAGAGGCCATATCCTCGATTTCAACCCTTATGCTCCACGCACGGATCCACTTTTATTCACCTATGAAGAGCTGAATTCCTTATTCGTCACCGCCCAAAATTCTCAGTTAGGGAGCAGCAATCGCCCACAACTTCGTGTTGTTGACTCAGCCACTCACCCTGCGGCAATGCGGAACGCACCAGCTAACCAACATAATATGGTACCCTTCGAAGCCATTAGTCTGAGTAATGGACGGGGTATCGACGAGTTTGCCCAGCTATGGCAGCAAGAAGTACACAACTCGATGAACGCAGATAACAAGGAATGAGAAATTTTCATTGTTTCACACAAGTCAACGTAACTCGTCAATTTCTTTTCATTTGCGATAATTTGCGATGCATACATGTATACGTGAGAAGAAGAGCATTAATAACCAGGTCTCGTTACCACTATGAATCCTAAAAATCGGCCTTAAAACACCGTTCCGAACAATCTAAATTAAATGTGATGCTACTTTGTCTGCCCCTGTTGTCGACCGTACCAAGGATATATCGATTCAACGACCAATTCTAATAGTACCTTGAAACCAAACTACCGAGCATGAAAATGCTAGGTGACACTTAGTTTTTATCTACTTCGACACCAGAGTCGCTGGCGTTGCCATCAGGGAAGAGAGGGCGACTAGCTGCAAGACCTTGAGCATTCTTATAAAATAAGACATTGCCTTCATCTTCCACGAACTGAGGAAGATATCAGCACCCATCACTGAAAAAAAACAAAAAACAAATTACTTTACACTGCCTGAAAACTCGATAAACTTCTTGCCAACCACCAGGAGCACCCTGCAATTTAATACCAGATTGTTGAAGTCTCTTGCGTAACGCATCCGTAGCCTCCCATCTAAAGCCCAAGTCATGAACTTAACAACTTTCAAATGAGAGGAATCGATGGCACTCACGCATTATAATGAGGAATCTTACTAGAAACATGGTGAAGAACGTGTGTTTCGGAGATACCATGAGTAGCATGTGCACCGAACCAACCCATGATTGATCCGCAACCACCTAAGAGGTTACGGTCAAGAGTAGCAAGAGCACCACGGGGAAAGGTGAATTCGGGGGGACGGTAATGCGGGAGAAGGGGGTCGGTGTGCTGCAGGAAGGTGATCAAGACAAGCCAATGGTTAACCCTAAAGTATGTGATAAGCTGTAGAACACATATCGAGTGTAAATATACTTGCCAGAAGTATGGCACGATATATAGACGGAACACAGTCGCGAAGCCATGCACATATATAGAGCCGATAACGGCAGCTAACCATAGCACAATACCAATATCGGACAAGACGACAGCCTCGAATTGATGAGGAGCAAACATAATAGCCGAAGGATTGAAGTCTGAATTTCATGAGCCTTCCATCAAAGGTAGAGGTAGACTATGGGTTACGTACGATTGGATCCTGAAGGGTATCTCTTTTGTCCAGAAGCATTTCTTATCAAGTACGCCGGCCAACCCCCAAGCTGTCAAGAATATTCAGTACTAACCCCAACGAGATGATATCTGTTTACAAAATTTCTGATCCCACACAAATGTCTCACGGGTGACAGAAAATATAAATGGAAAGTGAAAAGCTCACCAAATATGAAGCACAACCAAGAGTTGCCCCAATAGGCGAGTCACCCAGCGCGTCCCAAAGCTCTTTCATAACTTCGTTGCTAATACTACCACCAAGAATGTCTTCCTTAGTGGGGTTGAAAGCAGGAAGGCCGAGTTGTGACCGAGTTTTAGGCACGAAGACCTGATCTTGAGTCATATGAGCCGTAGACGCATGGTGTTTGGCGTGTGTAATGCGCCATGAATGATAAGGAACCCCAAGCCTTCACCACAAAAAAAAAGGCTCGCGTTAAAATCACGTGATATACAAAGACAAAACGACATACGCAGAATGAAGAACCCAACCAACGCTGTTGTTAATGAACTTCGACTCGGAGAAGGCTTGGTGACCACATTCATGAGCGATGACCCATAGACCGGTAGCAAAAAGTCCAGTGGAGAAGCCGTACAGCGACCACAGGCCAACCCGAGCGAGGGAGTACAGGTAAGGGCTGGGGAGACTCACGAACTCGGGAGATATGAATGCATCAAGGAACGTAGCAGCCTTGTAAATGCCTCCAATGACAATCAAGTCCCATGCGCTGTAGGCGTCAAAAAGAGCATCAGCAGACGTAGCCTGAGAAGAATAGCGAGCGCCATGGAAAAAACGTACATATAGAGCGAAGACCTGAAAGCAGAGCGCTTGAAACAATGAGCACTAAGGGTACAAGAGAGTATTAGTGTTTCCTTGCCAGTATGAAGAACAAACATCAAAAACTCACGGAATTGCCCCCAACAAGTCCTTAATCGTGAGGTCGGGAATGACCACAGGCTTTTGTTCTATGACTGTCGTTGCTTTCTGCGACGCAGCCGTCATGATCGTCGTCGTCGAGGAAATCGTCCTAGTCTAATCAAACCGTTTAAAAGGTGGAATGAAGAGAGGAAGTGGAGAAAGAACGAAAGCCTTTTTGACGCGTACACAGACAACATTTATTGGGGGGAAAATATTAAGACCGGTATTAGCCGAATGCACGTGGCTGAACCGAACAGGGTATGGTGGGGTTACTGCTGGTGCTTTATGTAAATGGTACGATCCCCAAGCCCGAGTATGTATAAAGTCCATGGGATTATGATTACAAACAAGAGTAGTATGGATAGATCGTACAAATGTTAAGCAAGATAATGAGCAGAATACCATTCTCTACTACTCTGTGACAGCTCGGTCTCGTAAGTATCTATCACCGAACCACCCTAATTCAGTGCTTTCAATCGCTCAGCCAGTCCTTCTAGAAAAGCAATGCCATCTTTTGTGATGGTTCGTCCACTGCTTTTATTCGTAACAGTTCCAAAGTCAGCTACCATCTTCGCAAGTGCCCTGTTATTTGGTGCAGTAGTCACTTCTCGCCGCAGAGTTATAAGAGCTCCTAGCTTCACATGTCGTGCTGGAGGCTGGAACACATCCTGATTTGTACTGCGTGTTCGAGAAGTCCGCAGTGGTACGGCAAACACCGAAGGGTCGGCCAGCTGCTTGTACAGTGTGTCCAAAAACTGAAATCCTTCTTTCGTGAGCATCCGCGAACGGGTTGATTGCAGGCATGCCACAAAGTCGGTGACAATCATCGATAGAGTCCGATTGTCTGTCGCTTTGTGTGCTGATGCTGCTAGATTATGGAGCTGTGTGGCTTTACTGAAGCGATTCGGGGGTGGAGGTATGTTCGTTGGATGATCAGCGCTGTCGTCCGAGTCACTACTAATTTCAATCACGGCTGTCTTAACAGGTTTTTGCAACGCGCCGTATTCCTTTCGTAGTGCAACAAGCGTGTTCGTCTGATCGCCCAGTACTGGTCTCTCCTTGAGATTGAGTTTGGCGAGACCATTGAGTACTTCTTCCATGTTGGGTGCATTATTATATGGTGCTGGGCCTGGTTTAGGTTGATGGAGAGCTGTTATCTGCGACTTCACCTGTCCATAACTGTCACTATCTAAGCAAAGTTAAAATCTGTCATCATACCTTGGGCGGAGGAGGAGGCCATACGAAATCATCAATATCAGAAAATCCATGCTCATTTGCAAGCTCTTTGAATTCATCTTTCCAATGGTCGTAGTCGGGACAATCAGCAAATTTTAATCTCCTACAGTAACGTAGGAATTCCTCAAATTCTGCAGGGATGCCCCGACATAGATCCTCTGGTCGTGCGGTCAACTTATCGCGCTTAATCCGGTCGTGCTGCGCATCAGTCTTTGGGACACCGTTCCGTGTCCACGATAGCCCCCCGGGAGTAAGCAAATGTATTAACATTAATGCCGCCGCCTCAAGGTCGTCCCGACGTGAGGGCACTGTGTGATACGATCATAAGCTGCAGCATAGAACAAGGTAACTGGAAATACGGACCCTTGCCTTTACAATGGACGCCAACAGATGTAAACCAGTAATTTCCTAAGAAGTCCCGTTTTGCTTTACTGTCAGGGATATGTCGACGGGTATGAGGGTCGATATATTGCTTAGAAAATCCAAAATCAATCATGTAGATCGTCTTATTATTTGCCGAAAGTCCGATGGCACAGTTGCCAAGTTGAATATCGCGGTGTAGAACACCTCTGGTGTGCATTATTTGCAATCGCGATATCTAAGATGGAAACAGTAGTCGGAGGTCAGTGATCAAGTGGAGTGGGCAGCTTGATCGGATATGCTGAGATAGTTGTCGTGCTTACGAGTTGTATTGCAATGCTACATACACTTCGAAGATCCATCTTATTCTTCCCGCTCTTCCTGAATAAGCTATCCAAGCTGGGTCCCAACAGATCTATGACGAGGAAATCCCATATTCCCTCTACCCCCGCGGCCCATAGAGTAGGCATGCCCTCTCCGCCTTGTAGCATAGGATAGAAAGCTCGCTCATATCGGTTTGTTGGACACTCGTGATCCACGTTTTGAAGTTTGATTGCTACCCTTTGTCCTGTATATATGTGACATGCTCTAAATATCGATCCTGGGTGATTTCATTGAGATGGAGATGACGGTGGACACTGATTCACTAGGTGAATTCACATTACCTGAGTATCCCGATCCTAGACAATCTTCCAGCCAATAGTTATTTATTCGTCTAGGAATCGATAAGGCCATCTTATGGTGATCTCTTTAGAATGTTAGTGAAAGAGATGGGTCTGCGCGGGTCAAACCTCGTTTCGTCAGCGTGTGGAAGCAGCGAGTCGTATACTGTCTTCTCGGCAACAATATGGCAATTCGATACCACAGTGTCTGTTTAGTATCGATTTAAATCACAGATTTTTCGCGGTGTTGCAACTTATTGAGCTCACTCGAGTGAAGGGCTTGGACTACTTAAATGAACACCAAAGTAAAAACGCGTCGGATCACGCGCTCGTTGAAGAGCACGCGTGCACGTGCCTCACCGTTCATGATGACATTGACTCGGACGTCCATTGACACTGATCAAAGCGAAGGCTACATTTGAAACGATACGAACGTCAATTAAATCGGAAAATAGTACAGAACCCTTTGTCCTCTCCATACCTTGTTGAGGCACTAAAGCATCTCGACTGCGATTGTACGACAATACCGTTAAGCTGGCCAGACAACAAAATTGAACTGGGTTATATCCTCAAATTACTTCGATACCAAAATACTTGACGTCGAGGTAAGTATGCATTGAGGTATGTGTGTATTTGATAACCCACAATGTATCTTTCTCGTATCGTGGCGCATCACATAGGCATGTGGCTCAAACACCAGTTAATCCTCGTCACCTAGCTCATTTTACGCAGTTGGCGACTGTACACCAGCTCAAATTGACCTGATAAAGGGCACAAAACATACTAGTCCACTCACAGCAAGTCTCAGCGACAGGTTGTGACTAATAGTAGTACTGGTCTGCGCAATGATCGTTATGCATGTCAGTAACCGAGTTTCTTAAGGTTGGTCAGTTTAATTTAAATTTTCTTACGAGCACAAGGACTTATTCGTATGCTCCAAAAAATTAGCTAGGAAGCTGCACCAGACATCACGCATAATCTCAATGGTTACCGGAACTTAGGAATGGAGCTGTAGACACGGAGTCCTTAAAGTTGACCTCAGGCGTTCTAATGCGAAGTTCACCTCCTTACCCTACTATAAACTCGACACGATTCGTTGACGACTGTACCAAGGGGTCTTTGCCTCCAGAAGAACCTACAGGTTCTTTCACCGACTTTATGGTGCATATCTCGCCCCAGTAAATGCAGGAACCGCGCAATGCGCAATTTTACTGTTGACCGACGCGTTTAGTTTTCTCTAGGTCAACTCCAAGCTCATCGCAGACAGCCTCTCCAAACGATCTTCCTGTGATGAGTCTGGGACCTTTTCACAGGTACGTTTCTGTGTAGTGTAATGTAACCCTTTTTTGACTGATTGGCACATCGACTTTGTAATGCACAGGAAAATCACTATTGACATATGTACTTTAGAACCCGGTATATTACCAGACCCGTGGGTTTAAAAGTGACCATTTAGGACCAACTACGGCTCGCATGGAAGCTGTTACCACGGATTGGTATGCTTTTTCGCTATCGTGTCTCGTCGTTGATATATGAGATCTGTCTATATGTACCTAATCTCTTTTGACAAATATTCATTCAATTGCTTCGTTGCCAGTTCATCGGAAAGCTGCACAAACAAGTATGAGAAGACCGGTGCCGTAGGGTGCGTCATTCGTTTGCTTACTATAACTATTTACAGATTACCGCTTAAGCACGTGTAGAAGGTCAGAGTATTGCTATTAGGGTCACACCCGGGTGGACTAAAGTGACAAAGGATATGGTGTTTTCTTCACTGCCCTTAGCACTCCGCGAGAGATCCGAGGCAATCTTCGCACCTCGCAAGACCAGATCGGATTTCCTCCAATAATAACAAAAGTATGTCATCTTCAACTAAGGCACAACGTCTGAGTTGTATTCTCGAAACTGATGGACCTTTCGCTAGGCACCGTGAATGCATATGGGTTCGCTGCAAGGCCAAGCTTCAAATTTCCTAATGTGAAGGAAGGATAAGAGAAGGCATTTTAGTGTGTATTCAACAGACAATTGAATTTGCGGAAACCTGCATGTTTCGATTTTAAATCATAGGCCTATAACGGGATGGGTAAGGGCTAGTTAGTTGTGTACTATATTATTTGGAGCGTGGGGGACACCTATCAGGAAGTGACGTTCACAACTTTCGGTGGTATTCCGCGCCGAGGTTTTGGACCCAGTATAGAAACAATGATGTGTGCGTGTTTTGCCTGCTCTCACATCGTTCAGGTCGCTGATAGCACTTTCACCTACTTTAATTGAGCCCTGTTCACTGGAGCGGACTTGCAGTAATCCCGTTCGGATTTCGGTGGACATTGTCAAATTCGCTTGACAAGCGTACTATGAAATCATCCAGTCTGTCGCATTCAGCTCAATCTGAAGGCAAAACGAGCGTGGTGACAAACGTTCACTTGGCCCACTCCGATCCAGAATCTTCCAAGCAATTGTGGAACGTTATTTGCCAGCAAGGGCGCGTGCACAGAATTTCTCCTGCAGAAAACGGTTGGGAAGGCTCGAAAGAATGGCTGGGTGATGTGATAGATGGGCGAGGTGGAGTCTTGCTTCCGTCGTGCGTGTTCAATGGCTCTTTGCTGTATTATATGGGTCTGGTTTATCATTCACTGACGCCGCTCTCTCTTCAGCCTTTGCCATTCCCACATACACCTTGACAAGTGTTTCATTCTTGATCAATGTGATCAACTAGCTTCGGGGTATGTCTCAATTTGCCATGTCAGAGTCATGTTCAATATATGTGAACCGGATACGATGATACATAGATCATTGAAAGAAGCGCTACAAGTCACCAATAAAGCCAAGGCCGCTTTCCCGCTACATTTGGGCGACCTGTATGATCGTGCAGCGCGCTTAATCCGTGAGAGTGTAGAGGCAGGTGTCACGGCCATGCGCGCACATGTTGAAGTTGATGCTACAGTAGAATTTGAATGTCTGAACGTTGGTCTGAGGCTCGCAGAAGAATGGGCCACTGTTTGCGATATTCAAATTGCAGGTTGGTCCCATACCATTGCCTAGCTTTTGTACATGGATTGTTTAATGTTGGTTACGGTCTGCTCACAGTGTTCGCGCAAGAACCTCTCTTCTCAGATGCTGAAGCAACTTCTCCTGGTCCAAACTATCATCTTCTTGTGGCAGCAGCAGCTCGCTCAGGTGTCAGTGTTGTAGGCTCCGCTCCTTACTTCGAGCCAACAACCGCACAGACACTGCAAAATATCAGACTCATCTTCGACCTCGCTCAATTGCATTCCCTACATGCAGATTTTCATCTTGACTACAATCTCGATCCTTCCACTCAGCCACTTATATGGACTGTCATTGCGGAGATGCGAGCGCGTGGATGGACACGCGCGGCGTCAAGCAAATGTGTAACCGTTGGGCACGCAACGCGCCTTGGACTGCTGCGCGAGGAAGAATGGCACCGGTTAGCTATAGACATGAAGGAACTACCACTCGCGCTTGTTGGACTCCCTCAAAGCGATATGTATATGATGCGAGGAGCCACCACTGCTTCCCGCTCCCTTGACGTCTCTCGCTTGTGGCGTATCTATGGTGTACATATCGCAATGAGCGTGAATAATGTTGAGAATGCTTTTACACCTCAAGGATCTCTTGATCCACTCACGTTGGCGAGCCTTGGAGTAGGAATGTTCCAAGTCGGTGCAGAAATCGACTGGATGGCACTGCTGGTAGGTTTCATTATGTGGTTACAGGTATATCCGTTAACCATTGGGTTCTATGCTGTCAGCGTGCTGTCACCATTTCGTCCAAGGAAGCCATTGGCATAGTCTTCAATATTAACCAGCAGAAGGATGACCGTGGCGATCTGGATCTTGTTCCACAGCCCGGCGAATATGCAGATTTTATCATAGTGCACGAGACACGGAGATGGCAGTCAGCAATTTTGAACCCTGCCTTTTCTCGCACCACGGTGCGGAGGGGAAATGTCGTAGCGACGAGGAAGGTAGACAGATGGAATGCTAACATGGGTGAACTTGAAGGAACAAGAGTATAGACATCATAGCCCGAGTCAGTGGTTGCAACGACTCGAAGTGTGTGGGTTCTTGTAAGCCCGCGCGATGGCCAATGATGGACAGCCTGACAGTCTTTCTATTCATTACTTTCAGGCGATATAGTGCTGACCTGAGGCTCTTTGCTATAACTTGGCTAATATTCGTATCATGCTATTCATGTCTAGATGTTGCCGCGTTCTCCAAGTTACGATGTCACGTAGCACATATCGACCTCTTAACATTTTGCTTGCATTCACTTGGCGAACCTGTCGCTTAATGAACCGCTACAGATGAAACGCACTTAGGTTATTTCTAAATAAGAGGCGAGTTTGGTCCAGGACAGTACTTTGATCAATAGGGTAAGTGTAAGCCAACTTGGGCCCACGGTTTCACGATGCAACACCAGCATTACAGACAGTTCTATCATGTTTACGCACCCACTTTCGTGTTCTTCGCTCTAACTGCGACACGCTGACCACACGCTGCACAATTTGGAATTGCCGTTGAAGCTCCTCAATCTTGAGCACTGAGCGCTTGCAATTGAGACCCACAGATATCATGACATCGAATGCGAACACTGCAAACTGGTTGCGGCCAATGCTGATTCGCTCGTATCTTAAGCTTCTCAGGCCTTGCTCATAGAAGATCATGCCCTCGACTCCACCCAGGCGATTATTACACAACACCTAGGATATACGCTAGTCCCTCCGAAAAAACGTCAAAAACTTTCCAAACCTTCTGCAGACACAGTGTATGGACAATCTTCAAAGGCCAGCGGTGCCGGGAGGCGTCGCCGTAGTAAGATGGAGCTAGTGTCAACCTTGAACATGGATGTTTTATGCCATGTAAGTATTCTCTGTCCTCCACCCAGATCTAGTCCTTAATGAAGTTCTCATTTGTACATCACGAGTTTTCTATCTCCAATGGACCTTCTCAACCTTTCCCGGACAACAAAAGGCTTTAGGCGGTTCCTTATGCACAAATCTTCTACTTTTGTCTGGAAAACTGCGCGCCTGAATGTGGAAGGTTTTCTAGAGTGTCCCCTGGACCTGAGTGAACGACAATATGCCAACTTAGTGTTCTATTCCCATTGCCATGTACGCATCACGAGTTGATCTGTCCTTCCCGTCATTTTTAGCTGTGGCGCTTTGCAGATTTGTGGCAAGGTAGGGCATATGGTCATGTGGAAGTTTCGTGTAAGATACTGTTCAGCATGCAAGAAATGACGGTGAGGTAATCTGCGAATGTGTTGCTATACAGTGCTCTTATACGTCTTGTCATCTATTAGGATGATAAGTGCACTAGTCCTTCCGGATGAGGTGGTGGAATCCTATCTATCATCACTTTCACGAGACTCTATTTATGCGTGATAACCCACAATATGGTGACGAAGCCTTTTAACAAACAGAGAAGATGCTATGATATACCATCTTGAGGGAACGACCGAGAGCGTCCCTGTAGATAAATTCTTTTCTTGGCAGATTCTGACCAGAGTAACCCAATTTATCGGACGAGGGCAACTCGCTACTCATACTACTGTCGTTCCCAAGTCTCGAACCTAGGCGTTTTGGGAAGCAGTCAAACTCAGACGCATTCCCAAAACGTCTGGTGACTTTCGTCTCAGGACGAGTGCATCGAGTCACACTGTCACGCTTTTCGCTCTTTTTGAAGTTTTAGATTCTCGTCATCATGCTTATTAGGACACCAAATAAAATATGATCCGTGACTCTGAGTCGTAGTATGAGCAACAGAGACAATTTTCAGTGAATGGCAAGTCAATGCCAGCCTCGTCATGTCCTTCATCACATGCTGAGGCTATAAAACACTTCTACAAGCTCCTCACTGAAGCCTGAAGGGCAAAAACCAACTACTCCTCCCAGGAAACTCGTGCAAAGTTGATTCAGTCTGTCGGAGCATAATGCAATGGCCGGACACCTTACGAATGGCAGCTGGATGCCTCTGAGGCATTCACACTGGGATTAGACTGTATAATAATAGCGGGTACTGGCGCTGGTAAGACACTTGCCTTTGCTATGCCTTTGTTACTTCACAAAGAGCATATACCTGTCATCATCTCGCCTTTGAAAGGTCTGGAGGAAGAACAGGTGAGCTTTTTGTAACATATCTCAGTCGCTTACCTTTGCTTCATATCAATCCAGGCTGCACAGTTCCGTCAGTGGGGAATACAGTCTGCAGATGTCAACGAAGACACATATGACGAGCACTTACACAAGGAGCTCAACGAGCAAAAATATAATGCCATCTTTGCTTCCCCGGAAATAGTTATAAAAAATCCTCGTTTAAAAGGCTTGTTATGCTCACCTGCATTCCAGCGACGCATGCTTGGCTATATCATTAACGAGGCCCACTGCATCTCACAGTGGGGAAGGGATTTCCGCCCTGCATATTCCCAGGTCGACCAATTGCGATCATTTCTACCACTCAATATCCCTGTATATGCAACTTCGGCCACAATGACTCCTAATGTTCTCGCCGATGTTCGGTCAAAGCTACATATCGAGTTTGAGGACCAAGTCGTCAATTAGCAGGCTGGTAAGACCCTCTTCACTGACATCTTCGGGCGGGCACTTTGCTAACTCCTGTATGCTACTTAATTCTCTTTCAATAGCTTCCCTAACACATGAGAAGGCAAACACCTTGAGTACATCCTTTCCCCCAGTTGCACGTGCATTACGAGTGCCCTTGGTCCGGGGTGGTTTGTGCCAGCGTCCAGTATCACTGGAAGCTCATCACTTACCATGAGAGCTGTCCTTTCATAGCGGATCTTGGGGTCCGTGATGCAGTTGTAGTCGCCCCAGCTGAGATAATTTAAGAATAAGGGAAGATTGAGCCCAAGCATGTTCATGTATTCCAGCACCAAGCGAACTTTGGAAGCAGGAGTGCCGGTGAGTTGTGTCTTGAGTTGAGATGTGTATTGTAGCTGGACAGGGCGTATATTTAAGTTCTCTGGGTCACTACTGGGCTCTGTATCGGTGGATGATAATGAATTGTGTGTATTATCGACCGCTGAGGGGGCGAATGGATTGTTGTTGTCCTTGAAAGCCTCACCGCTATTGCAATTAGACAGGCTCTCACGTTCAGTGGGATCGATCATGGTTCAAAAGATAAGATAAGATTTCGATTTGTAAGCTACTGCTTGGTTCTTGTAACATTGCCAAACACAGCCAACAGGTGTGACTCGATGCACTCGTCACCTATCAAAAGTCACCAGACGCTAGGACGTTCCCTCCTAGCTCTGGTCACGAGACTAGTCGTTCCCAGGTTTTTTGGATTTCATGGGCCAACCGGACAACTTCAAAATAAGCATGTTCTGCTTACCATATTGCTTAGCTATTTCTCCCACTAACTATTATGCCCCAGAAAACCTTACTTGCGGTATTTTGAGCTTGAAAAATGGTGTATTTGGTGAGATCCAACTTTTGTGCAAAGTAATGCAGTTGTAACGCAGCTGTAACGTTCGATCTTGAAGCCGAGGCTACCAATGTGCGTATTGGGCTCCGCTTGGTGTGTGGCACAAACGGTCAGTGATCAGTGAATTGGTGACACCTTTTTATGCCGAGCGCTGATTCAAAGCGGCATGTGTGACCATTATGTGACTTTAGTGTTATTTTGTGACATCCGGTTGGCCCATGAAATCCGAAAAACCAGGGAACAACAGTATAGAAAAGGTAAACAAATTCTCGAGTTTCCAATATTTCTGGCACTAAAATCGTAGTCATTATTAATCAGCATGCTAAGGAATGCGAAAAATGGTCTGAGTCAGTACGCGAAGCTTGCAGGCACGAGCTCAAGAATGCTAGGACTGCGCATAAAAATGGGTCTGTAATATGAATTTTGATGTTGTGGGTAATTTAATCATGTGTCCATGTTCATCTAGCATTCGAATGTGGCTAATAGAGCAAGGATGGGAGCCTGAAATGGCTTACTTCGACTGGGACTTCATTGCACGACTTCGTATCATCAGGGAGCCAAGGTGGCTGATCCCAAGGAGTGAGCTCCCGCCTCTTAGTATTAATGAAAGCAGTTTCCATCAATATTGCAGTTCTCAACAATTTGTCTTCCTCTCTCACAGAATCAATGTTGAAGCTCAGAGATATTCACATTGAGAAGACTGTCTTCTCTAACCGACACCGCACTCTGATAGAGGCATACAAACGCTACCTGAAGAAACCAAAACAGCCTGGCACTGAGACCCGATTGAACAATTTCATGCCCCACTTTGCTGACGTCTCTGCCTTCCAGCCTTTTGACGCTATAATCAGGTCGCGCTTCAACAAGGTCATCACTGCTAAGCACTTTACACCAGCGTTTGCCGAGCTTCCTACCTTGATATCAACGTGGCGACAGAGAATCGAAGCAGAGTTAGTTGAATGCTATCTACCCCCTCTCTCTTCTTCTGTCACTGGTGAAGCGGCCACAGACGCCCCTTCGCCAGCCACATGCATGTCTTAAACTCGCCAGCAGTATTTTTATTGTCAGGATGAATCGATGATAGTATACCCCGATATGCTAGCAGACGAATATTTTGTTGGTTTACCAAAAGCGCCCAACTTTCAGGAAGCTACATATGAAATGCACAAAACTCTCGGCGGTACCCTGCTCAACTGACATTCAAAATGAACACTATCAAATCAAGCTATTTGAGCTTGCCATAGATATTATCTGCACATGTGGCATGGATCCCGACACTGCAACAGTTGATGACATGAATGTGCTAGATGCTAGGTTGGAATGTATACTGCACTTTTGAGTAAAATAATAATTTGTATTTTTCTCGTGAAATCCCAAATAGTACGCAAATAATGCTTTGATAATATTCTATATTAGGTAATACCACATTTTTATTCTGGTATTTTGACTTTGATGCAGGGGAGCTGATCATGCATGATTGATCACCATATCTGTAGTACTGGCATTAGGTAGCGCTCTCAATATACAAGTCTTTTCCAGTCCGTTTCTCTTAAGTTTAACCATCATCACCATCATTGGCCCATCCGACACAACCACCACTATCATATTTGTTCAAATCACCTCAACTCTAGGCTACTGTCATCTTCCAGCTCAACGAGTGACGATCCTGGCATATATCAGTCAAAATGTCAGCAAAATATTGCTGGTGTACGTGTTCCCATTGTGTCAAAGCACCTGATGGTCGACTCTGGCAGCTCGTCAAAGTCTCTCAGAGACATATGGCAGCAGATGAACTGCAACAGTGTCGATGATGAGAACTGTTGTTAGAAAAAACACACACAAAAACTAACACACAATCCTCCAGATTCCACGGAACTTGTTTATGGGCTTTGCCTCCTAGAACAGTGGAGTGGTCTGGTTGTTCGTGGGGTGGTACGTATAACGATCCTTCAAAGTAAAACCCAAAGATGTATGGGTGTGGGTTTTGAGGAGGAGGGGTAGTTGGAATGCAGAAAGATAGGGGCTTTGTGGCGAGTATAGACGGGCACTACCTTGCTAATAGTAGCACAAGGTAGGTTTAGAATGACAATATGATGAGGTGACAAAGTTCCCAGTGATAGCAGGCTTCTGACGCACAGACTGTAGTGCTCAGAAGGACTCTAATCGAAAGGGATGACAATCACTTTCAAAAGTGACGAGTGACAATGACAGCAGTTGATAGTGGTAGCAGTGGGAAGTGTTGTGACCACACTGGATCACAAGTAGTAGTGAGTAGTGAACTTGAGATTAGAGAAGAAGTCTGGATTCGAGTTCTTGTTTTTTTTTTACAAGGTAAAATACAGGGGTTTATATAGTGAAATAAAAGTAGGCTATGCACAGTATAGCTGTGCAAAAAGAATGAGAAAGAACGTGAAGGAAGGAATGTACGCTGACAAATCCTGTGTAGGTAGTACAGAATAAGATTGTCAAAAAAAGGAAAAGAAAGGGATAGAACAATGAATGCTGTGAGTAATGTCACAGGTTTGTACAGCCATAAAGCAAAGTCCAATAGCAAAAAGAGAGCAGGAGAATCATGATGTCATAGGAAGATACAGTAAAAAAAGGGCAAGGCAAAAAACTATCAGTATCAACACAGTTCCTTTATTGCCAGTCAGGCATTCTAAAAAATATGTGTCCATAAAAATGATTCAAAAATCAAAAATAATCGCACTGTAAATGGAATGTTCTGCTGAAAAAAAAGAAACTGGAGCCACCGGTCCACCACCTAGTCCAAATCCAACAGTTCCATGGCTTTACCAATGGACTGGTTGTGTTGGACCACCTGGTCAAATGAGGGAGGGAGAGGAGTAGTCCCAATTTGGAACAAGTGAGTCCTAGGCAGCGTGTGGTAGGTGTAGCTGTAGCGAAGACGATGGACAAAAGATAAGTGTACCCAAGTGAATGGGACAGCAATGAACATGGGCAACGCAAGGGGATGAACCTTCTCTAGCTCAAAAACTACCCACCCACGCTCCAACCAGGCAAGACGAGTGACTGATGTTTTGATAGTATATGATGGTAGATCAACGTCATAAAGATGGACCTGTGGCCCTATTTGAACCGGCCGCCGGGGCTTTGCTGATATCAGCAGTGGCATGTGGTAGTCAACGGCTCGGCGACGGAAGCGGATAGGAAGTGGTGACATCAGAAATAGTGGGGGTGCAAATAAGATGAGGAGGAGGAGGGTGGAGGTGACGAAAAAGTGGATTAAAATGGGGGTCCAGAAATGACCGTCAGGTGAGAATAAAAAGGAGAGTAAGGGACCTATGGTGGGGCTAGGCAAAGGAAGGGAAGTGAAGGAAACGATAAAAGCGAGGGCGCAATGCAATGTGTAGCCAGTGGCGACGCGTAAATTTGCTGAAATGCCGAAACGCAGAAAGTACTGAATGGAAAAGCAAAGGTGAGCGTGACTGGATTGCCTAATAGAGGTGGTGCTGATCAGCCACAAGATTGAAAAAGGCAATATTAATTACTATTCCATGTGGCACTGTGCCTGTGTGGCGCAAAGGCGAGTCTTTTTGAATATTCACTTCGTTATTGACACCTGTCCATGCTACCAATCAACTTTGGTGCATGACAACGGTCCAAGATTTGACTTAGAAGAGACTTTGCAAGAGAATATGCACAACAGGCACCCCCACACCTCAACATTGTCATCCCTCAAACTGAGCATCAGCAAGAATATCAAGGTGATGATGAAACAGTCCGAGAAAGTCCAAGGCCATACTCGCCTCTGAATGGCAGTTTAGATAATGACTCAGACTCAATTCACTCACTCCCCGATCCTGCCATCAATGCAGACTTCAGCTCAGACGAGGATTACTTCTTTGCCAATTTACAGGACCAACCTTTTCTTTCTCCAGATGACAACAGCGACAGCGATAATAAACCACCCCTTTCTGACAATTCTGACAGCTCTGATAATGATATAATCCATGATCCCCTCTTCGCATCCAGGCCAAATATTTTTAGTCAACAAGATGACAATGATGCAGAAGACGACTATCACCTCCTGCCTTCTACAAACACCCTGCCATTTGCAATGCGTACATCAGGGCATTTATTACTGCCTCGTTCAATGCAGGAACCCATGATACTATACACATCATCCTAGACGGTGCGGCTCTCAGTTTTCACTCAGCATGCTAACAATCACCAGATGTTCAGCTTGAGGGCCTTGAGAGCATGGCCAGGACACTAATAACGGTAGAAAAAAGACTTGGCGCCTCCTACAATAGCCTAATCACTTACTATTTTGTCTGTCCAACGTGCTGGAATCTGTACCATCCTTCAAGGCTTCAAGATAACCACTTCTCCCCCTCCTGTACAGCTGAAGACTGCAATGGTGTTCTTTACACCACCAAACAAATGGCAACTGGATCTTTTAAACAAACACCCTGCAAACTTCTACCATATGTCCTTCCGACACAGGCAATTTGATGGGGGATCCGCCGACCAGGAAAATATGATCAGCTTCAGAGTTGGCGAGGACATGGTGATGAACCTGGGGATAAGCCTCCAACTACCACTGAAGATCTTTCATCATTTGAAAACCCAGATAAGCTCATATACAATATGCACAATGCCTGGGGCTGGAGAGCCATATCGGCTGGAATTCAAAGATATCAGGGCGGACCTTGGACGATAGAAGATATTAATGTCCAGGAGCTTCATCAAAGATTTGTCTCACTGCCATGCGGTCTTGTTTGGCAGATAAACCTGGACTGGTAAGCTTTTCCTTCGCATTTTCTTGCAGCGATACACACTTAAGTTAATATAATATTTCAGGTTTCAGTCTGTCAAGCGAGGCAGCTATTCAACTGGCGCTCTTTACATGACTTGCTGCAACAACCCTAGAGGTATCTGGTACCTAACAGAGGAGACTTTTCTGATCATAGTCATACCAGGCCCGAAAGAACCAAAAGTTGAAGAGCTTAACAAAATTCTCAAGCCATTTGTCAATGACATGCTAAATTTATATGAAAGTATGCTCTATTTAATCCTATAACAACATTACTATATCATTTACAGGCAATCTTTCCGTATTCCTGGACATCAAGACAAAAAGCCCACCAACTCGATCATCAATAGTGAAGTATTGGACCTTCCAGCTAGCCGCAAAATAGAGGGACTTGCTGTTAGTTTTGGTGATTCTGCACCTTTGTGCTGACAAAACCGGATAAACCCGGTCTCTGCCAAAGCAGCCATTGTTCTCCATGGAGCATAGCCACCACTCCATGGAGTAACCATTGTTCTCCTAGGAGCACAATTGTACTCCTAGGAGTCATTATACTGTAGCGAGTAGCACCTCCGACTATAAGTAGTAGGGGGTTTAGTATAGGAATACCTCAGTCATTTCTATAGCCTCTGGGGCAGCGGCTGAGGTATGTTACATTACATTTATTAGAGATCACCTTAAACTAATATCTATTGTAGTTTCACTTAGGTTTATTAGTTCTATCTGATAATGGACAGAGTAGAGAAGATTGGAGCTTTATGCACACACCAGATATGCCAAAAAGCGAAAAATAGGGCAAAAAGTCAAAATTGATGCAGAGACAGATAAGATGGATGGATTGCCACCAAATCAGAGGTATAGGGAACGTTTTTATAGAGTAATAGATGGCCCAAATATCACAAGAAGTGAAGCACAGGATGTGGAGATATGCAATAGGGGTCTAATAGGGGTGAAAGTGCCAAAAATGCGAACTTCACAGAGGATGATGGAGTGGATGGATTGCCCCCAAATTGAGGGTGTAAAGTGCAATAGTATAGGGTAGTAGATGGCTCAAATAGGGCCAAGTAATAAAACTAAGTGAAACTCAGCCGCTGCCCGAGAGGCTATAGAAACGACTTTATTATTTACCTAAGTGAAACTACAATAGATATTAGTTTAAGGTGATCTCTAATAAATGTAATGTAACATACCTCAGCCGCTGCCCCAGAGGCTATAGAAATGACTGAGGTATTCCTATACTAAACCCCCTACTACTTATAGTCGGAGGTGCTACTCGCTACAGTATAATGACTCCTAGGAGTACAATTGTGCTCCTAGGAGAACAATGGTTACTCCATGGAGTGGTGGCTATGCTCCATGGAGAACAATGGCTGCTTTGGCAGAGACCGGGTTTATCCGGTTTTGTCAAGAACAAGCCTATAGACTGTGAAGCTCGCCTGCATTGCCTCAGTTTGCTGTTGCCTAGAGCCTCTCTCAGTCTGCGGTGTTTGGGGAGCTTAAGTCACTTTGTTGACTCATATACAAGCCCTATTAACCAACACTGTCTCGAGGCAATTTCTCTGTGAATATCAGTGTGGAATTGAAAGGGGAACACAGGCGTAACCCTGCAGCAGCACTAGGAAGCCTTAGCACCCTCCTGGATCGCTTTTGGACGCTTTTTGGACCCTATTTGGACCTATCCTTGCGCTTTCTGACCCTCTCCATATCCTCTCTCTACCGCCTCACCATCTTATCTGCTCGCCTCCTACTGTTGCCCATTGTCTTTACCACTATTCCATCGCCTATAGCCGTCTCCTACATCATTTATCATTGCTCTATTGTCTTATACAACACCCATCATGTCTGACTCTGATCCCAAGTTCCATCCATTGTCTGGCACTAACTACCCCCAGTGGAGTGGTGAAATGCAAGCTTGGTTGATGACCAAGGGCCTGTGGAGGCTCGTCTCTGGCGCTGAAAAGTGTCCTGGGACTGACGCTGAAGCAATAGAGAAATGGGAGTTGAGAGCTGAAAAGGCTGCTGGTGCATTATACCTCAATGTCACCAAAGAGCAGTGCATCCATCTTGATGGCATCATTGATGATCCTGTCAAGATCTGGGAGAAACTGGCTATTGTGCACGTCTCTAAGAAGCCTGGGACGAGATTTAACGCCTATGACGACTTCTTCTCTATCAGAAAGAAGGAGAACGAGTCCCTGCAGTCTCTCATGACCAGAATTGACGAAGGCATGCATCAGATTCAAAATCTTTGTCCTACTGGCTTCTCATTGTCTGAATTGGACGATGAATTGACATGCATGGCCATGATTAGGGCGCTTCCTGATCAATATGCCCACTTCACTTCATCTCTACTACTTCTGGGCACCTTGGACAAGACCCAGCTCAGGGATGCTTTCCTTGCTGAAGAGGTCAATCGCCGTCGTCGTGCTGAAGTCGATTCTGCCTTGCATTCTTCGTCTACCACTGCCAATAGCACCTGTACCCATCCTAACTGCCATCATTGCAACCAATCCACCACCTCTACTCGCATTCAGTGTGATTTCTGTGGTTTACTTGGTCATACCCAAGACAAACGCCACAGATACATTGCTAGTCGCCAACAGGCAGTGGAGGGTGCTAAGAATTGCTACAAGCGTGGCAATAAGGCTCAGGCAGGCTCCAGCAACTCTCAGAATACCTCTCAGCAGCCCAAATCTTCGCCCAACAATGCCAATTCATCTACTGTGGTCACTGAATCAGCTGGAAATGCAAGTCTTTGTTCCATTCATCCCTCTGATCCTCACTGCCCTCTTCAACTTGATGCTGACATTGGTTGGAATGCAGACACAGGCGCCACTTCTCATATGACACCTCATCGTCATTGGGTGCACCACTATACCCCATATCGTGTGCCAATCAAGCTGGCTGATCACACTGTCGTCTATTCAGCTGGTGTTGGTACTGTGGTGTTTAATCCTGTGATGAATGGCAAAGTGGCTAGGGCTGTGGAATTCTCTAGAGTGCTCCATGTACCAGATCTTCGAAATAATCTCCTCTCAGTCTTGTATTTAACTCGTCAAAGTGGTTTCAATGTCACCATTTCGTCTCATTCCATGTCCTTTATGCGTGACAACACTCTCTTGTTCACTGCAACTATCAATGACAACAATGCAGCATTCCTTGATGGATCTACTGCTGCTTGTGTTGAATTGGGACATTTTACTGCGACTATACCACTTGATTTGATGCTCTGGCATCGCAGATTGGCTCACCACCATCATGCTGATGTCAAGAGACTGATACAGAGAGATCTGGTCACTGGGCTTACACTGGAATCCAAGGCTGCTCCTGATCCTGTCTGTGAACCGTGCTTGTCTGGCAAGATGCATGCCAATCCATTCCCCTCATCTGATACTCGCTCTGCTCATCCTTTGGACCTCATCCATTCTGATGTACACCAAGTCTCTTCCCCCACATTCTCTGGTTATCGCTACTGGGTCACCTTCATTGACAATCACAGTCGATTCCGTGTTGTTGTGCCTCTCAAGGCCAAGTCAGATGTCTTTGATGCTTTCAAGAGATTCAAGGCTTATGCTGAGACTCAATTGGAGCGTAAAATCAAGGCTCTGCGCGATGACAAAGGGGGAGAGTACATGTCCAAGGAACTTGAGCAATTCACAGATGACCATGGGATTGTCAGACAGCATACCACCAGGAATCGTCCTCAGCAGAATGGTGTGGCAGAGCGAGCAAACAGACTTCTGACTGAGCGTATCACTGCCATGTTATCAGAGTCTGCATTGCCTAACAGCTTTTGGGGTGAATGTCTGTCCGCTTTGGTGCATTTCTGGAACAGGTGTCCCAGGTGTCCCAATCCGCGCAAAAGAGAGGAATGGTTTCCTCTCGACAGAATAGAGGACTTTTTTTCCTCAGTCATATGGCCTATCTCTGTAGGTAGATTGTTGCCTTCTGTAAGTTCTCCATACACATAAATTAATGACTAGTTGCTTATTCAATTTTCAGATGACTGGAAATGCAAGTTCCGCCAAAGCGGATCGGTGGAGATCACACATAAGTATTTTTTTTATAGGCTTATTCATTGCGTGGCAGGTAGACGGGAAAATACCTGATATCCAGGCCCCTAAATCAGCAAGCAATACAAAGAATGCATCGTTTCAAGCCCAGAGTGAGAAAGTTGTCCAAACATATCAAAGACAAGCACTGCTTGCCTCGGATCCACCTCCGACACAAGAGGAACTTGATATGATACAAGAAATATCAATGGACCGATCTCTGCGCTCCCATTATGCAAACATCATTGAGTTTTCTGTAGCTATACAAATTTTATCCTCACATTCTATTAGCCCAAATGAAATTACTCGAGGATGCATGGTATTATCTCGTTCAGTTCAAACATGGGCTCGCATGGGCTGTCATCTGACACCCTATTTTCACTTGGCTCAACATTTTGAGGCTCAATTTCTCAAGTTCGGCCCTTGTTACGCTACATGGGTGTTTCCTTACGAAAGAAATAATGGATTCCTTGGTCGTACACACCATAATAATCACAAGGGTGGCAAAATTGAATGCACCATTATGCGTAGATGGTGGAAATGGTTTGTAGTCCATGACTTGGTAGGTACTTGTCTTATCTTATATTCAACTTACACTGATACATGTCATGTAGATATCCATGCTCAAGTCACTACCAGAGTCTACTCCAGAAGACGAAGACTCCATATACTTACTTGAATCCTGTTTAAAGGGTAAAACCCCCATGCAACGGAGAGGAACACTACAGGAATACCTCAGTCATTTTCAAGCTAATGAAGAAGATGCAAGGCATTTGTCGTTACAACACTGTTATGTATTGTTATGCGCTAATGTTTTTATAGGCTCCATAGACTTCCCAAGATACAGCAAAGAACTCAATATATTGACCCTTGATGACGATGGCACTATCTACGCTTTGGTCCTTGATTACATACAAGATCTCTGGAGCGACATTGAAGCAATCCATTCCAATGTGGCCCACAGCAATCATGGCACATACTTCATGGGTAGAGTATGCAATTACTCACATATTTTTGTCGACGCAATCCAATATGGCGCAGCAACACACAATCAAGGGAAAAAGGCAAAATATGCTTATATTTTAGGCCGTATTGCTGTGGAAATCCAGTGAATATTCCGTGTAATACAGCCCTGAGAAAATCGAGAAGGTATTCCTCTAATAGCAACAGTTGCAATCATTCAATGCTTCCAAATGAACCATCAAATCCCTGAGTTTCCCTGGAATATGTGGTAAGCATTTTATTACTTGCGTTATATCAGATTCTGACTGGCTATTGGTGATTTCTCAGGTCGACAGATTTAGGTGTGCAGGTCTGGCATGGTAGGTCATTATGAGAGTTAGAGATCGTGCCAGTGGAGGTGTTCTCGGGTCAGTTGATTCTGGCTCCATTAACTATCAAGGGAGTTGAATATTGGGCGACAGTTGCTTATAATCATGTAGGTCTTTTTTTCTTATTATTTTTCTGGTTTCTGACATTTCGCTCAGGATGGAACAGAGGTAGACATGGCAGTTGATTCAGACAACGAGGAAGACATCTAAGTACTGCTGTTTTTGTACCACTAATATGATCTGTTATCATGGTCATATAGCTCATTGTCACCGTCGCCATAATCAAAGTCATCACCTTGATCTACTTCACCATGGAAATCCTCGTCATCACTCTCATTGCTGTCTTCCATATCTCTCAAGGTATCTTCTTCAAACATCTCGTCCAGATTATTTAACTGATTTGCTAAGTTAATTTGCTCTAAAATATCTGCTTCTTCTAATATCATGGATGGTTTGTCGCATTCTCTATGGAGTTCCAACCACGCTTCATCAACCATACTACGAGGGATTTTGACGCGGCAATATCCACGCATTGGTAGGGGTTTCTCTCTCACGTTGCCTGGTCCAAAGTCACGGTCTTGACACACCCTTGACGTTTCCATCATTTGCAGATTCATCAGTATCTGGATGAAGGCCGTTATCTTGATCTGATTCATTGGTTGACTGGTATGCAGCTTTGAATAGGAATTCCCTTTCAGGGCTCCGAAACAATGTTGTGTGCCTGATTGAAGAGCGCTCAGCCGCTTTCTATTCAAGTGTTTAGATCAGTCTGGGTTGCATGAGTATACTGACATATTTACTCTGATTTTTCTAGCAGCCCTCCTTCCTTTGATACAAGCTATGTGTGCCAATGCTTCGTTATTAGCGGTGAGTTTTTTGTATTTTTTTTGGAAATTGTGGAACACTATTTTGATGTGTTGTTGTATGTCGTTGAGACTCTTGTTTGATAGTACATCAGGGGAGATTCTAGAACAGATTTCAGCCTCTTTTTGATGGATGTACTTTGCCACTTTTTCAACCCAGCTGATATTGTCGGCCCATGTTGCTTCAAAATTTGGACGTACAACATAGGCCTTGCGGGATTCAAGCTGGTACCAAAACAAACCATCTTCAAGAGGGACCATATCACAAAGGGAGGTGGGATGTAGTATTCCCATAGCGTGTAGAAGAGACTTGCAAATGAGAGTCTGTATTGAGTGAGTACTTTAATTTGTGAAAAAAATTGAAAATAAAACTTACATTGTATGGGTTGTTTCTTAGTGTTTTGTTCGCCTTTTGGATTACTTGCGCGCTTTCGTCTAGCTTTGTTTTCTGTTGCTGTAAGTTTTCCATAGCTATGGTCATATCTTGAGTTGCTGATGATTGTATTTGAGTTTGATTCTTGAGGTCAGCAATATCGTCTTCAAGTGCTAGTAAACTGTGAGTTGTTCTTTCTTGTTGATAATGCATTTCTTTGATAGTCGCTTGCATATTTTTGAGGGTTACAAGAGCGTGTTGAAATTCGCTGGCGATATTGGCCGTGTTTGATTCCAATTTGAGGACTTTGTCTGCTAATGCTTGTGATGGTTTGGTGTTGAGGATATCTGGTACGTTCTTGTTTCCTACATGGCTTGAGATAGTGGAATGACCACTTGAAAAACCTCCAGGGCGGTTACAAAAGTTGGGGTTTGGTTGTGAGGCTGTCATAGGTGGTTTTTGAGCGTGAGTCAAAGACAAAGATGCAGGTGTTGGTTGACGAGAGCTGAGGCTGGAGCAAACACTAGTAGCCAATGTAGACGTTGCACGACCAGGGACAATTTGAGGAGCACAATTTGGTGCTTTTTTGGTGGTACCAGGTGCAAGGCGAGTTGGCTGAGCAAGAGCCGGCCTTATAGACAACACAGGTGAGTTGATTGGATTGTCTGGAGCTGGTGTCGGTAAACAAGAGTGGATTGCTGACAAGCTTGTAGCCGACTCAGATGGATTAGCTCGTATGGGGCTAAAAATCCTATTGACTATGGTACCCTCATTGGCATATTCCAAGACTGGTGAGTTTGTTACATCTGTTTGCTGGCCATTATTAACTACTTGGTTTTCTGTTTGAGATACTTCAGGAGTATTTTTGGAGGTAAAACCTTGAAGAAGCCTCGGGTTGATCATTGGTAGCGGTACATGGTTTTCTTGCTGGCATTCCAAGCCAGGTTTAACTAATGCACTTGATTGTCTTCTAACTGATACTGGAGTAGGTTTTGGTTTCCTTGCGATAGCCTCAGCGACTGAGAACAATGGTGTGAACAGCTCTCCGTGTCATCCTGTGTTTTCCTGCTGATCCTTTTGTGCTATCTCAGAGGCTTCTGTGCATGCTCATTTGGCTTGGTCATCTTGATCATGGTCAATTGCTTTGTGTTTGCGTATTGTAATCTTCAAAAAGGTCCCCTTTTGACCCGAGTCTGCATCCTCATCATCCTGCTTTCTCATTTGTGAAGTGGTCCTGGTGCCAACATCTGGTACTTTTTTCGGTCTTCCTTGAGGCATGTGTGCGTTGTGAGGTTATCTTACTCTGTGGGAGTGCTGGCACGCATAGACAAGAGGGGAAGCAATGATTATATGCTCATAGTTAACTGTACATGTAGTAACTTATAATCCAATCTTTCGTCGCTGCATTATCTATGAGGTCATACTTAATAAGGAAAGAATAATGACGATGGTATTATTGCATCATTACACGTGGTGTTATTTGCTTATTATTTTGGTATTATTAGAATTAAACCTCTAATAATCCTGCAAGGTTTTTTTGACATTATTATGGTATTATTCGGAATTTTCACGCTATAATCCCTCAGTTTTTTTAGTCTTCAAAGTGCAGTGGTAGAAGGTTGCTTCCTATGTTGTGGCGCAAGGTTGTAAGATCCCAGTATACGGCACTATACTACTGTTGTTCCCAGTCAGTTCGTATTTGAGGTACAATTCGGACGTCACAAAGGTAACAAAAAGTAACGCTAAGGTCACATATGCCGGATTGAAGCACCAATTTGGCAGAGGAAAGCCTCAAAAAATGACGAAGTCCCACTGCTAAGAAATAATAGTAGAATAGTAGGCATTGCTTTCATGCTTGACTCAAAATCAAAACAACAGTTTTCACCAGATTCAGAGTATATTTAACTACAAAACATAGTACGGTTGACCCAACTCATTATAATATGTAATTGTCACACCATTTTCATCAGTTGGGAGAGGTAAAATACGCTCAGAGATATTGAAGTTATATGAGGGCCCAGGAGTACTACAGCCTGGGCCAGAGAAACCGTTGTAAAATGTGGGGCCAGGAAATTGTGATTGTGTAGCCAAAAAAGATGGAGTCTGGACAGACTGGGGGGAAAACGCAGTAGATGAGTTGACACTAGAATATAAGGGTGATTGGGATGATTGTCCGGAGTGACTAGAACCCTCAGGGGCCTGAACACGACGACCAAAAAGGCCAGCAAACCGGGGGTTATTTGCTAACTCCTTATGTCCTTGAAGGTGAGACTTGATCCTTTCAATGAGGGCTTTGACTGTCCCATCAATCGGTAAACCAAGAGCACCGGCTATGACAATGAGGTCCTCCTTGCGCTTGTAAGACGCAAAAGATCTGTCAAAGACTTTCATCACAGTCTCTATTGTTATTTGTGTGTTACGAGCGGTGTCTTCTTGCTGCTTACTTGCCTCCTTTTCTGTGTCTATGCGGGCTTTCTCCTTCCGCTCGGTCTCCTGCTGTTCGAACACGGCCTTTAATTCAGGATGAGTGAGAAACTGGGCAGTTGGTTTCGTGGTGCCTCGTTGAGGCTTCCTATGGTTTCCTGAGCGCTTCTGTATGTCTTCCGCATCACATCGAGCAAGCGTACAATGTGCATTGGCTGCATCCCTTTCAGCCTTGAGCTGTGCTAACATCACTTTCAGCTGTGTGTTTTCATCCTCAAGGAGCCCGACTTTCAACCGAGTGCTCTGCAACTGCATCAACAACTCAGGGTGCGAACACCGTTGATCTTGTTCTGGAGACACATTCTGCCCATTATTTAAAACAGCCCCCACAGACTGCGCAGATGAAGACCTAGTCATGTATCCGCTGCACCTTCTTTGAGCAGAGGTGGCTTTTGTGCGCACACGGTCAGATGGTGTAGGAGAGGGAAAGACATCAAGCCCAAGCTGTGATGGAGAAGGAGATGGGGCACTGCCAGTTTGTGATCGAGATGCGCTATTGACGAAAGGATCAGTAGGAGGGAGTGGCGGCAAAGACATCTGCAAAGGAGATGGTGGTGGAGTATTGGAGAAACGCGGCCAGGAAAAGAGCTCAGGCGGAAGTGTTGAACCCTCTCGTGTGGGGGAGGAAGCTTGAGTAGGCGAGGAAGCAAAGAGGTGGGGGAAAATAGGATAGAATGGAGATGAACAGGAAGACTCGTCTTCCTGTTCATCGTTGTTCTCTCTATACTCCTGAGAGGGTTCTTGGTCATGGTATCCGTCCAATTCAACTGTCGGGCCAGGGAGCGCTGTCAAACCAAGCAGTCCTGGGCGGGAGTCATCCTGCATCAGATCTGACTCGGTGTCTGACTCGTTACTACCGTCGCTCATATGGAAAGACTCGTCGCTTGTGTCAACGTCACTTGGATAACTATCAGGGAAGTGAGCAGATGTGGACGTTACTTGGCTTGGCGCAAAGTCCCCCTCCGTGAAGACATTCGGGTTGAATGGATAGATACCAGTCTCCTTGAAGGCCGTGCGGATGAGTTCTGGTGTAATAATATGACGGATAGAAAGATACTCTGGAACAATGTTGTAACAATTGATTTTGATGCCTTCTATTGCAAGGCGGCTTGTGTGCGAACTCCAACTCCTTCCAACTGGGGCAAACACGACAACATCAAGCGGCTGTAATTTATGAGTGGTTTTTGATGGGAGGCGATAGATAATGATGCTGTGTTCATAAGCTAGAGCTTGAAGAACAGGTTGCTCATGCGAGTCATGGCCATCCAAAGTAAGAATGACCGGCCTGTCATCAATGCGGCAAGCTTGGGACTCAGGGATAAATGTCTTGTTGAACCACTCCTCACATATTCCACGGTTTGTCCAGCCAGTTTTTGTACGGGATATACTGGAAGAAAAGGTTAGTAAAATGATATGGGCAGAGGAATGGAGAAAACGGACCTTCCTATGCCCTCAACGTCACTTAAATCAGGCAGTGGCCCCTCCTTCAACACGAAACCAGGCTTCATCAACGCTCCAGCAGCGCTAATGCACTCTATCACCGTAACAAGCTCCAAATTGTCGTCCGAGATGCAGTATGATCCCTTCTGCTTCCTATTATAAAAGTACTTTGTCCCGTCTCCTTTCCTGCCTCCTCCCATTTGAATCCCCTTCTCATCCATGTTCCAGTCATGTTCCGGAGGAATCCCACCATACATATCATTCAACTGTTTTCGCTGTGCAAAGTAGTCAGCCACTACTGTCCAGTTGAAGTTCTTCGCTCTCTTCGGGTCCAGTTTCTGCGGCTTTCGGAGAACAAGTGATGGATTGCAGCTAATGAACCTGTAGTGCCAATGTTTTCCAGGGATTTTTCCCGAGATATCACGCACACACGACCGAAGCTTCTTGGGATACATGGGTTGGCCATGGTGCCATAGTGTTGTGTCCAATCGAGCAGAACCAATTCTTCTGCTGCAGATAAAAGCTGTTTCTTTTCTTGACCTTGTTGGTATACCTTGTGCACTTCTTTCGCTCGATCGTGAAGTGTTTGACGGGCAACCTAAACTCCAGCTCACATTCATCTGATCAATCGATCAGAAATCTAATCACTCACGTTGTTTAACCTTGCAGCCTCTGCATATGACTTGTAGAGCCCCCGTTTATAGCCTCTATCGCTGCCTGTATCCTATTCTCGTATTCCAGGTCCTTCGACGCTCGGTAGGGACATTTTGCTGCTGATTTTCACTGACGGGCCATTGTAGGACTCTTGAAGTGTGTCAAACACATTGTTCGACAGCCTGTGGCGCACGTACACCTGGGTCTGAATCTGACTTTCGGGAGCTTCCGCTCTATTGTTTGAGTGTTACGTAGCTGTTACAGGTCGAAAAATGGCTTGAAAGAAGGGACAGAAGAACGGCTTGATATTTCGAGCTGAAAAAACTTCAGGAGGGATTTTCAAGGTCTTTCAATTCACTGGGTAAAATAACTAAAGTAAGTACTAAGTGCTATATGGTGTTTTCAGATAGTGTCCGAATTGTACCTCAAATACGAACTGACTGGGAACGACAGTAACACTTGTCTCGTTGTTCATCTTTGATTTTTCAGATTTCCTGCGCCATCAAGAGAACTGCCAACCCTTAAAGTTCGTTCTGGTCAATGATTTGCCGAAAGTCTCCGAGCTTTGCATGTAGTGATATATGATGTTTAAAGAATAAATGTCAGAAGTATCTGTCTTAAGTTCTGATTCGCACGCCCCTTGAAGCTTGAGACATCATATCATGATAAGAACATGTCTTATCTCTGACCGTTCTGAGCGCTGAGCTCTAACTAGGAATCGCTGAAGCCATCGCTGTTGAGCATCACTCAAGCAGGTAAGCCATACTGTTTTCGCTTTATTTCTAGTTCTCATTTGTGCTATTAGATCCGAGTCCGCATTGTGTTAGTTTTGGTGATTCTGCACCTTTGTGCTACCTCTATATCTTCATTCCTTTCTCTATCTATCCCTCTACCATTCAGTATTGATTGTGTTCTCTATTATTTCGCCTTTGTGGCTGCTTTGTTTATCTTTGTTTACAAAACATCGGACAGTACTGCAGAGTCCAATGCTTCCTATTCTCTAGTTACTCACATTGGACTCTAGGTACTGCATACCTGTCATACTCTCTAATAATAAAGTTACTCACATTGGACTCTAGTTCCAGTCCCTGATTGCTCTCAGCAAGTGGCTAGACACTTCCTTCAAGCTTTGTTCTTAATACATTGTTGATATCATGTGCATCCATAGTTTTTGCACCGGGCTCAAGCCTTCCATAAATCCCATCATGCTCAAACTCCACCTCTTATAGGCCAGCAGTCTTTCCGAGGATCCCCCCATTTACTAGCTTGCTGATGTCCTCAAATCCCCCACTGCCAGGCTATCAGGCCGCTAGCATCAGCTCACTGCTAGACTCGGACTCGGACGACGATGCCCTCAAAGCCCTAGGTTATGCCCCCTCCTTCACCCGCGAGTTCTCCAACCTCGCCACTATCTCCTTCGCCTTCAGCATCATGGGTGTCTGCTCCAGCGTTGCCTCCACCTTCAATACGCCTCTCCTCCTCGGTGGCCCTGCCTCCGTGACCTGGTGCTGGCTTCTCGGCGGCTCAAACTGTGTCTTGCTCGAGGGCAGCATTGCAGAAATTGTCAGCGCGTATCCGACTTGTGGAGGCCTGTATACTGCTTCGGCAAAGCTGTGTCCGAGAAAATATAGGGCAAGAGTGAGTGTTATTGTTCGAGCCCCTCAATTAGATAATCTAGCTAATTGATCGATCACTAGGTAGGCTGGGTTGTAGGCTGGCTGAATATCCTCGGCCAGTTTGTCGGCCTCTCCTCGACAGAATTTGGCCTCGCGAACATGATTCTCGCCGCAGTTGTTGTAGCGAGGGATGATTTTGTCATCACACCCGGAAAAGCTGTCAGACTCACCACAGCCCTCCTGTTTGTTCATGGTATCCTCAATTCCCTCCGCACGCGTCACCTCGCCCTCCTCACCTCCTCTTTCCTCTTCGTCAACGTTGGCGCGTCCCTTCTCATTATCATCTCCCTGCTCCACTCCCCGCGCCCAGATGCACCCCGCGTCCTACGTCTTTGGCTCAGACGGGCTCGTTGATGGGACAGGGGGATGGGGCAGGGGCATGTCGTTCTTATTGGGACTACTGAGTGTACAGTGGACAATGACCGGGTACAACACCACCGCCCACATCAGCGAAGAAGTCTGACGCGCAGCGTATGCCGCCCCTGCCACCATTGCCATTGCCACCCTCGGGACACTTATTATCGGCTGGCTTCTCAACATCACCCTTATCCTCGTCTCAGGCCCTCTCTACCTCCTCCCAGGGCCCTCTGGATCCGCCTTCCTCGCCATCCTCTCGATGCGCCTCGGCCGCGGACCTGCGCTCGCGCTCTGGTCGCTTGTATGCCTCACTGCGTTCTGCGTGTGCCAGAGCGGGCTGCAGGCGGGTTTGCGCACAATCTATGCGTTCAGCAGGGACGGCGGGTTGCCTGACGGGGGATACTTTGCGCGTGTAAATGCGAGATCGAAGACGCCGATACGAGCCGTGTGGCTGACGGTGCTCGTGAGCGTTCTTCCCGGACTGCTCGACCTCGCAAGTCCCATCGCAGCGATGGCCATCTTTGCGATGATATCCATGTCGATGGATCTATCTTACATAGTGCCCATCATCCTACGCCGGCTCTTCCACGCGCACCCCGAGGTGCAGTTTGTGCCTGGGCCATTTGCGCTCGGAAATGGGGTGATGGGGTGGGTGGCGAATTGGGGATGTGTGGTGTGGACGCTGTTCGTATGCGTCATTTTCTCTCTGCCTACGGTAATGCCTGTAACAGGGAGGAATATGAACTATGCGAGTGTAGTTATGGTAGGAGTTGTAGTGGGGAGTGGGGTTTGGTATGTGTTGGGCGCACATCAACATTACAAGGGACCTGCTGAGGAGGTGGAGGTGGTGGGTGTGGAAGACGAGGAGAAGGTTGTTGTATTGTAGTGTGTAGTACTTATAATGTTCATAAGAGGGTTTCTTTGCACTTGATCAAATAGCAACATGGAGTCATGACATAAACTGTGACACAACACTGCCATACAAAAATGGTGGTTATACGTGGAGGTGAGCATCAAGTTGGAATCAGGGTAGAGTAAACTACTACTGCTATCAAGTAAAGTAAGCCCCTTGCAAGCTTTCACAGATAGTGAAAGATTGAACATGAAGATTAAAAAGGGGTGACGTGAACAGGTATATATAGACACGAAGAACAGGAGGCTGTGCCCTAAGCCTGACCGGGAATAGTCTTGTCGAACCAAGCAATGGTCTGCTCGATGGCCTTTTCAAAGCCCTCCTTGACGTTGGGAATGGACAAGTTTGGGCGAGCAGCGAAACCATGTGCAGTGCCTAGAAGGTGGGTGAATGAGTGGGAAGTATAAGAGGGAGGAGGAAAGCAAGACCTTTGTAGTCTACGAATTCGTATTCGACATAGTTATCCTTTCCTTCACGTGCGGCAAAGAGGGCCTCGAACTGGTTGCACATTTCTAGAGAGATGCCCATGTCCTCTGTGGAGTGAAGTGGTTAGATTGCGTTTCATGCAGGATAAAAGATGAACCTTCAGCAAGAGCCCAAGCAGCTGGGATCTGTGAAAGGGTTAGAGGGATGAGGAGAAGGATGAGGTGGGACACACGTTAATGGCATTTATCTGTGCATCGGAGAGGGGACCAGGGTGGCAGATGACGATGGAGTCGAGGACATTTGCAGAACCAACACGTGCAGCAATCGAGCCACCATAGCAGTATCTGCAACAGAATGAGCAAAATCGAGAGAGAGAGAGAAAGGACATACCCAACGGCACCAATTTTGTCGTATTTCTTCTGCTCACGTATTTTGTTGACGAACTGGATCGTTCGTGCATCAACTACGGCTGGTCTGCTGCGGTAGAAGGCGGGTATGCGGGGGAGAAACTTGAAGACGAGCTTGAATTTGTTCCAGAGAGACATCTGCACACCTGCGCGGTCTGGCATGAGCTCGACCATGCCCTCTACGGGAAGGAGAGGGTAGCCATTGAAGATATCGGGCACCCAGACATCACACGCGAGTTGTTTGCTGAGCGTGTCGGCGATGATCTTCGAGTTCTTCAGCGGGAGACCAAATGCGTCGGTGAGCAGGACAATGGCGCGGTTGTTGGCGTTGTCAGCGTTGTCAGGACCAGGGGCGAGATAGGCGCTGTCGATGTCAGAGATGGCACCGGTGGGGTCACCAGGGAGGAGAGAACCTTTTGTACAGTGGTCACAGCTCATCGTACTCTGTGCTTTTCTCTCTGATTGCTGCTTATATGCGCTTCGGAACAGGCTGGTCATCGTGCGTGTTGTCGTGCCGATCCACAGCAGTTGTTGCGCGTGACTTTCACCATTTAAACCCTATCTGACTACCTTCTTGTTACTACTCTTCTTTCTTCACTCTCTTCCACCTTCACATTTCACTCTATTACGTCTGCTTCACTGAACACTCCTGCGAGCAAACTGTTCACAATGCCACCATCAGCATACCCAGTTTCATCTAATTTAGGAGGCCATCATTCAGCGATAGATATGTGGGCAAATCGGAAACAATAACAGAATACAAGCAATTGACTAATGGATACATGACTTGACAAGAACAGTAAGCGGAGAAACATGCGGAATGCGTAAAAATATAAGACAACAAGAAGAACAGCCAGATCGTGAACTTGTGCCACATCTGCACCATCGAATCACAACCACAGTAGACTAGTAAACCTGATAGGCGTCTAGTAAACTAGAAGTTCTGGTAGGTTCTCAAACTTGAATGGAAATTTCACGTTCAGGACGGGCCTGCATCTCTCTGTCCTGTGCGTTAGTACTTTCAGTCCTAACCCACGACACCACTTTCTCCCGTAAATGTGAATGTAGGCTCAACTGTGACCCTCCGCTATTGATGCTGCTACTGCCAATAGATTTTGGATATAGTTTTTGCATGCCCAGAGGGAGGAGTATTTTCCACCATCCAGTACCTCGCCCGTTACACTCTGACTTCAGAGAGTAGATGCACCATACAACCAGAATGCCTACTGCGGACGAAGCAATACCAACGAGTGAGCGGGAGAGACTGTCCTGGGGTTGGTAGCACTCGATAGAAAATGCAGCCAGGAAAAAAAGCATCCTGCGTATCATACATTCAATAAAGGGCGGGCGGATGAATCACAATATATGCACCCCCACATGAGAAGAGCAGAAGGCAGGCTATATATAATAGCAAGTGTTTCCTGACCGTATTTCCTGTGCGACATCCCCTCCAAGAAGGTAGCCTGTGAGTACTGATGTCAGCTATCAGTAGGGATAAAACTTGAAAGTATAACTTACGGCGGTTGCGGCTGTACCCTACATTTTTGTACGGGTATGGCAAACCAGTACCAAACCGAGAACTATGCTTCCAACGCTTGCGACAAGAGAGAGATAGCTGGCAACTTGTGTTAGTGACCTAGTGTCGTCGTTCGTACCACTCCCACTGTTGACACTTTGGATTGCTAAGAATCCCACATTGGCATTAAGCAACACAGTAGCCTTCAAATGAGAAGAAATTAGATGCCTGATATGAACAGCTACTTTGATTCTTACCAGCAAGTTGAACTCTTGCAAGTCACTATTAAGGCTTTCCATAAACTTGGTCCACGTAAATATACAGGCGCAGCCATCCACAAATAGGCTGTCCAATGCTTCGACGTACGTTATTGGAGTACCGAAGAATACATGCGAAAGAAAGAACATCATAGTCGATCGAGTAGGGCTCTCGCCGTGCACCAAATGATGTAGTTCCAGACGAGCACCTTTTTGACCATGAAAGTTGATGAATTGGTTGTGCGCTGGCAAGTTAAATCAGCAATTTAGAGAATAATGACTAAGTGAAAAAAGAGAGAGAAATACCAAATATACCCATGATCCGTCCTACCAAGGATAAAACATCACCATTATTAAAAATGGCAGCATTATTCAATGTCTACTTACCCACTATCCAGACGGAATTTATCGTATCCTTTTTGTTTTTGCTTGCTAAAGACTTTCAGCAATTTCTATTTATGTGAATGCTGAAATCATACGTCTCAGGTCCCTCACAATTGAGGAGAGCTCTGTCAATGTCTGAGCGTTAGAGGGAGCTGCGGAACTGTGGGATGTGATGTGGTCTATGTGGAGCAGATGTAAACAATAGAAGGTTGCCTGATCTTAGCCACATACCGCAATGTGCTTGAAGTAACATATATTTCAGCTCAGTGATCATGCCTTGAGTTAGGCGACACAGATTTGGGAATAACTCCAAATGATGCCTATGTTCTTGACCTTAGCAAGGGCTCTATATGACCACAATTGATGATGACTCACCAGTATTGAGCATTCACTGCATATCCTAAAACATGAGCAATAATAACCATCAAAGGTTAAAGAATTACTTTTGTGGGAGAGTAAATGAACCCCTTTGCACTTGTTAAGAAAGGGGTTTCCGTTATATTCGGTCAGCCACAATACACATCGATGCTGTGGGCTAACGAAGTAATAGCGACCCACAACTGCGTCCTCACCCTCGTCAAACTCAAGTTCAACTACAAGCTCTACTTCGCTGAGGTCTAGACCCGGAAAACGAGCAGAATTTAACTCTCGGAGGTCATTCCACAAATAATTGGCGACTTCCATCACATTGTCCTTGTCTTCCTTCTCATGAATATCCACATGAGTGAAAATCCTCTAACATGATAGACTTCAGCTACAATTGCTTCTCGTCGTGGCATTTACTTACCTTTGCTTTATGCATAAAATAATATGCACCTTCAGGATGGAATGGTTTGACCCACCCATCAGGAAGTGTCTCACTGAAAAAAAATTAAGAATTGTTTTGCTGGGTGGATTAACTAAGGCTTACTCGTGTGCGGGGTAATTCAATTTCAGCTCAGGGATCTCATGCGACGAGTGTTTAGGATCTCTGAATATAACAAGTATTGTAAATAAAATAAAACGTGACAACATGAATATACGTACATTATTTCTTTCTTCCCGTACCTACGTATATTTTTCACCGATACAGGATAGACAAACGGGTGTCCGGGTGTCAGAACTGGCGAGCCAGGATAACCATTGTTTGGCGGTGCGACAAGCGTACCAGTTGGAGAAGAAAGGTGGGTATCGGAACCAGTGTGCGGGAGTGGTGGTCCTGTATATTTTTGGTACAATGAACGGCGACTTGTGGACGTCATCATACTGGCAGGTCGAGAACTGCGTTCACCACTAGTAGGGGTATCCAGATTATGATGAGATGATATTGGATAAGCACTGCTGAAGTGTATAAAGCCTGTAGGATGTGGTGCAGGGGAAGACGTGGGAGTCGATGTATGGCAATGTGCAAAAGATGACTCGCCCTCATGTGCGGGTTTGGCAGTTACTGGAATCCTATCGCCTAAAAAAGGTGGGGTAAAAGAGGTATTGACCTCTACAGTATAGGGTCTGCGCTTGGTTGTGCTGTTATGAGCCATATCAGGTGGAGACTGAGGGATCCCATCTGTAGTAAGGTTGGATCAAAAGCTAGACTATTTGAGAATTTTGAAAGAGTGAATACCATGCGTTGATCTCTCTAGCGCTGACGGTGACGCTGGTCTCACATTGTTTTCGGCATCTAGTGAGAGGTTATGTGGAATTTGGCTTGTACATATGGTCGTTGATGTATGAGCATAGGGCAATATGTCCCGTTTGTTCAAAAGCGATCTATGCCCATTCGAGAACCTAACAAACCCTAGATACCTGGAGTGAAAGGCCTTACTCCAGAGGTAGTACCATGACAAGAGTAGACGGCGAACAGGGACCACAACGCCCCTAGATAGCAGTTTCCTTGTAAAATCCAAGAGCAACATCATGAAATTATAGGATCTCATGAAAGTGGGAGTCAGAATAGTGGGAGTTAAGTGCAACATTAAGAGAATGCTGCATACATGCATGGCCTAGCCTATCCACATGCCCTTCACTGGAATACTATATCTGTCCTACATTTAGGCGCCAGACCCTGAAATAACGAGCAAAAAGACCATTGCTCTGTGAATAAAATCCTGTTTTGTGTGGTTTGTCAGTTCTGTACAGAGGCTGAGATAACACACAATGGTAATTGACTGGAAAGCATTGCGACAGGTCGTATAATGCACAATGACCGTAAATGTGCTGTTAGCCGCTGATGCAGCGCACTTATAGCACTCCGATATGATGCTGTCTGACGGCCATGTGCGGGAAAGAGGCCACAAGTTTCTGGGACGTTGCCTGAAGCTCGGTGAACAATGATCCACAATGACATTACGGAGCATTGCGTTTCGGTTCGATAAGGGCTTGCCATGTATAATCATCCAAGTTATCAAGCACATCATGGGGTTAATTTATCAAAATTTCGTGATTTTTTCTTCTTCGTTAATGACGGGATTCACTAGTCTCCCTTGCTTACCTAATTCAATATATGATAAGTCAATATCTTGTAAATAAGGTCTGCACCAAAGTAAGACCATTTGGCGTGAACCCCCCTTCGGTGCCAATAACACGAATATTGAGCTCTTTTGCACCTCAATTTTAAACTCAACCGCTGTCATGCACCAAAGTTGATTGGTAGCATGGACAGGTGTCAATAACGAAGTGAATATTCAAAAAGACTCGCCTTTGCGCCACACAGGCACAGTGCCACGTGGAATAGTAATTAATATTGCCTTTTTCGAACTTGTGGCTGATCAGCACCACCTCTATTAGGCAATCCAGTCACGCTCACCTTTGCTTTTCCATCCGGTACTTTCCGCGTTTCGGCATTTCGGCAAATTTTTGCGTCGCCACTGGCTACACATTGCATTGCGCCCTCGCTTTTGTCGTTTCCTTTACTCCCCTTCCTTTGCCTAGCCCCACCATGGGCCCCTTCCTCTCCTTTTTATTCTCACCTGACGGTCATTTCTGGATCCCCATTCTAATCCACTTTTTTGTCACCTCCACCCTCCTCCTCCTCATCTTATTTGCACCCCCACCATTTCTGATGTCACCACTTCCTATCCGCTTCCGTCGCCAATCTGTTGACTACCATGTGCCACTGCTGATATCAGCAAAGCCCCGGCGGCCGGTCCAAATAGGGCAACAGGTCCATCTTCATGACGTCGATCTATCATCATATACTATCAAAACATCAGTCGCTCGTCTTGCCTGGTTGGAGCGTGGGTGGGTAGTTTTTGAGCTGGAGAAGGTTCATCCCCTTGCGTCGCCCATGTTCATTGCTGTCCCATTCACTTGGGTACACTTATCTTTTGTCCATTGTCTTCGCTACAGCTACACCTACCACACGCTGCCTGGGACTCACTTGTTCCAAATTGGAACTACTCCTCTCCCTCCCTCGTTTGATCAGGTGGTCCAACACAACCAGTCCATTGGTAAGGCCATGGAACTGTCGGATTTGGACTAGGTGGTGGACCGGTGGCTCCAGTTTCTTTTGGTTCAGCAGAACATTCATTTACAGTGCAATTAATTTTGATTTTTGAATCATTTCTATGGACACATATGTTTTTAGAATGCCTGACTGACAATAAAGGAACTGTGTTGATACTGATAGTGTTTTGCCTTGCCCTTTTTTTACTGCATCTTCCCATGACATCATGATTTTCCTGCTCTCTTTTTGCTATTGGACTTTACTTTATGGCTGTACAGACCTGTCACATTACTCACAGCATTCATTGTTCTATCCCTTTCTTTTCCTTTTTTGACAATCTTATCCTGTACTACCTACGCAGGATTCGTCAGCATACATTCCTTCCTTCATGTTCTTTCTCATTCTTTTTGCACAGCCATACTGTGCATAGCCTACTTTTCTTTTACTATATAAACCCCTGTATTTTACCTTGTAAAAAAAAAACAAGTAATCCAATCCAGACTTCTTCTCTACTCTCAAGTTCACTACTCTGCTACTTGTGATCCAGTGTGGTCACAACACTTCCCACTGCTACCACTGTCAACTGCTGTCATCGTCACTTCCCATTTTTGAAGTCATTGTCATTCGAGCCTGCTATCACTGGGAACCTTGTCACCTTGTCATCCTCGTTGTTCTCAAACCTACCTTGTGCTACCATTAGCAAGGTAGTGCTCGTCTATACTCGCCACAAAGCCCCTATCTTTCTATATTCCAACTATCCCTCCTCCTCAAAACCCACACCCATACATCTCTGGGTTTTACTTTGAAGGATCCTCATACATACCACCCCACGAACAACCAGAGCACCCACTGTTCTAGGAGGCAAAGCCCATAAACAAGTTCTGTGGAATCTGGGAGGATTGTGTGTTAGTTTGTTTTTGTGTGTGGTTTTCTAACAACAGTTCTCATCATCAACACCGCCGAGGGATTTGTGACTGGGCGGTCAAACAGATGTATCAATTTTGCGTTGCAAGTGATCTACGTGAAGCCTGGGCATACCTCCGGGAGAACTGGTACAGGCTAGGGCGATGGGAATTGTGGGCACAATCATACCATGACGAGATTCCAGTGCTCAAGAGACAATGATCCTAGAGAGCCAGTAAGTCAGCTTACACATTACGAGGGACATTAGTAACTTACATTCAATAGTTGGTGTCGTATCAAACATGACATTCTTCACCATTTTCAGAAGCCACACGTTGACCTTCTGGCATGGGTCCATGAAGCTGGCGCCTACCTATTATCGCAAGCTAGACCGTTTGATGGATAACAAAGGCCAATATCGTGAACTTGCGTCGTGGCGCAAGGTGTTCAAGCGGGACTGGAAACAGGCGGCAACATCCCCAATTACTATGCCGTTGAACAATAAATACAGACTGAACACACTCACCTGGGTGTGTACCTGCCCACATTTCAGTACCAGTCGATTTCTCCTCTGCAAGCATCTTGTTCAAGATGTCCATCCTGTCCCCCCCTTGTTCTTCCTCGAGGTCAAGCGTAATTGAACAACACCGTTCTGGAAGCATCCAGCTCTCATCTCACTGGACACTCTAACCGGCCATTTGAAGAGTGATGACACCATATTGCTGACAAATGTGGCTGCTGGACAAGGAGATTCAGACATCCGAGATGATGAGGAGTCAGATGATGAAGGAATTATTGATGTCAGAGGGATGGAGAATTGGTCTGTAGGGGAAACAATGGTGACTCATGCAAATTTACTGCGGGATTTTGCAGACGGTATCCTCTACCAGGCGCAATTTAACAACCATCAATGGGGGCAGAGCTTGGAGCGAGAGGGGGTGTCCTTGTTTCGGCTCGCCAGTCATTGCCTTGAGCGTGAGCGTCAATTCAACTTGACGAGGGGAACTTCACCGACAACGTGGGAGAAGACAACAACGAGCGCAATGTATTACCGCACATGCCCACCACGCGCAAATGCCTTGAGTTGATATATTTTGTTGATCAATCTCACACGCACTTAGATATTACTATATTTGAGTTATTATATTATTAATTTGTTATCAGTGTGGGATTGTTTGGCTGTAATACTGGGGGAGAGGTGAAGTGGTTATGTGTAAACCTGTTTAATAAGTAAACACTAAGTAGAAAGTCAATAGGTGTCTAACTTGAAAACATATTGCTGTAATGTCTCACCTCAGTACTGTAATAACAGACTGAGGTGTCAAGTGCTCGAACACGGGGAAAATAGATCCTGTGGGAATATCCGAAGATAAAAAAGGAAGTAGTTTCCCACAGTTACAAATTTGTAAGTAATGTAAGTGTTTCTAGGCGGAGGCTCAACTTCTATGAGTGTCGTCTAATGTTCCAACACCCTCCCTTGAGCTGAGCTGAGTCCTATCATGTTACAGAAACATTGAAATTTCAGTTTGGCCAGTGCTTTTGTCAAGGTGTCGGCAGTTGTTGGTAGGGCAGTATTTGAAGGATGGATTCTTCGACTAGTTGGCAGATGAAGTGGAATTGTATGTTGATGTGCTTCGAACGGGCATGGTATACATTGTTTGAGGTGAGTGCAATGGCACTTTGATTGTCTGCGTAGACTATTGTTGGATTCAGCGGTTTTGTGCCTTCTATGTCGCCTAGTATCCCTCTCAACAATATTGCTTCTGTACTGGAGAGGGCAACTATTGATTGCTTCTTGGCGCTCCAGGAAATTGTACCACCATTATACTTGAAGATGTATCCGCTGATTGATCTCCTATGGGGCTGTGATGCCCAGTCGCTGTCCAAAAATCCTTTTAGGCCCTCATTTTCTCCTCCTAGGGTAAGCATCATTTTGATTCTTTTTACAGCTTCCCAGTGGACTTTGGCGGGGTTGTGTGAGAATTGTGATACCACCAATACAGCAAATGATATATCTGGTCTTGTACCGAGTGCCAGATACATCAGCTTTCTGATAGCTTCTCGGTACGGTACGTTTGCCATTTGTTGTATTTGTTCAGTTGATTTCGGGCACTGATCAACAGATAGTATGATTCCAGGTTCCATTGGTGTTGATACACTTTTGCAGTTCTGCATTTTGAACGCTTTGAGAATCAATTTGGTGTACGCTTGTTGACCTAATATTAAGGTGCATTCTTTTCTGTTTCTGGTTGTTCCGAATCCTAGTAACCAGTGGATTTCTCCTAGATCCGATATTTCGTACTCTCGTTGTAGATTATTCTTGAAGCCTTCTATAGCTTTTAGAGAGTTTGATGTGACTGTCATATCATCTACTGACACTCTTACAACTATTTCAGATGTGTTGCAGCGCTTCACGAAAACAGCGTGATCGTATTCCGATCTCAGAAATCCCATGGAGTCAAATGTTTTGGTGAGTCTTTTGTACCATTGGACTCCTGCCTGTTTTAATCCATAGATACCCTTGTTCAATTTGCAGACCATTTCCTTTTGATCTGGTTTTAGATACCCTGGCGGAGGTCTCATATAGACATCCTTGTCGAGTTCTGCATTTAGATATGCGCCTTTTATATCTACCTGATGTATGTCCCAGTCTTTTGCGCAGGCATGTGCGAGGATTGTGCAATGGGACGTCAGTCTTGCAACTGCTGAGTAGGTTTCAAGGTAGTTGATGCCATATTTTTGGCTGTTTCCATTTGCGACTAATTGTACTTTATATTTTAGGATTCCTCCTTTAGCACCTCTTTTTATTTTTATTATGAAGTGTGATCAGATTATGTTTGCGCCTTTTGGTGTCACGAGGTCCCAGGTGTGTAGATCTTCCATCTGTTTGAGTTCTTCATCCATTGCTAATCTCCATTCTTTTTTATCTGGTCCTTTGAGTGCTTTGTATAGAGGCGGACTGTTTCCATCCGGGATATGTGCACTCATTGCTATATTCCAATGATGCTCTTCATCATCTTCCCTCCCTTCCGTCTCTAGGTTGTATGCAACAGATTCACTGGCCCTTCCTTCGTGTAGATCCTTGTAATATCCTGCTAGTTTTGTTGCCGTTTCTTGTCTGGGTCTTTGTTCGGGTATAACTGGAGTTGGTCGTGAAGGGGCCTTTGTGGGTTGTGACAAAGCTTTTGTTGGTTGTATAGGAGGATCCTTGTCATTGGTGCTCTGGATCAGGAACTGATCAGTGTCAATGTCATCTTGGACTGGTAAGTTCTTGTTTGGTATGGATTTGACATTGCGCTCTACGCTGATCTTTCTTTTCGCTTCTCGGATGGTTCTCTTTTCTCTTAGGTGCGTGGCAAATTCATCACTCATGTATTCTCCGCCCCGATCAGATCTTAGTTTTTTTATTTTAGCTCCATCCTTTTGGTTGAGGATCCATGTTTTGAATCTGGCATACACTGATAGCGCTTGGTCCTTCGACTTCAAGAGATGAATATGGGATTCCCTGGAATAGTCATCAGTAAACTATCATGTAATGTTTTCCTGTGATATCCTCGATGCTTGCTGGTCCCCATAGGTCCGAATGGATCTGTTCGCCATAGGATGTGGCTCGTGTAAATGACTCCTTAGGGAATTGTTTGCGATTGGCTTTTGCTTTTGCGCATGCATCGCAAAATGTCTCGTCTGTAGTTAAGTCTAGTTTTATGCCGGTTACTAGAGATGATGCGACGAGATGCTTTATTGCTCTTGTTGATATATGGGCCATTGCTCTGTGAGCTTGGTCCAGAGTCAATGTTCTGAGGGTGGCTGTGTTGGCTTGTATCTGTTCCCTTTTATCATTGTCAACTGATACATCTTGTAGCTGATATAACCCTTTTGTTGCAGGTACAATTGCAATAACTTGGCATTTTGGGTTTGGTGAAATTATGCGACAAGAACAGCCTTCGACGTGTACACTATATCCGGCTCTATTCATTCTGTTTGCAGATATGAGAATGGTGGACATCTCTGGTACGTACAGTACATCTTTTAGGAGTATCTTAGATCTTCTTGCTCCGTTTGGAAGTGATACTGTCATATCCCCACGGCCTGTCACTTGTAGTGGGGGTCAACCTGTTGTAAGAATAGGTTCTGGGGTGATTTGTGTGAAGGTAACGAACATGTTTCTAAATGGGGAGAAGTGTTGACTTGCGCCAGAGTCTATGATAGCCGGGCATAGGATATGTTTTTCTTTTATAATGTTCAATGAGGTTGATACTTTGAAAGTGTACATGTCGTTGTCTGAGTCGTCTTCGGCAGAGGCTTTTGCAGCCATTTTGCAATGATTATTTTGGTGAGATTTCTCTTTATCATTGTTCTTGCCTGCTGACTTCTCGTTTTTGTTCTGGCCCTTCTCTTTCCTAGCCTTTTTACAGTTGCGAGAGATATGTTTGTTACCCCCACATTTGTAACATCGGATGTTCTTTTTCAACTTTTTATCATTTTTGTCCGACAGTTTGTTCTTGGCCTTGGCCATTAGGGCAGCCTCTCCCTCTACTCGTTTTCCAACTGCACGGTGATTGGCCTCATCCAGTACATAGGATATAAGGTTGTCAGATGATAATGTGACTTTTGAAACTCTGGCAGCTGATGTTATGGATGATAGAAGTGGGCGAAACGATTCAGGTAATGAGGACATGATTATGGCCAGGAAATCTTGATCATTTATAGTGCCTCCCATACCTGCTAGTTTGGACTTCGGTTTTATCATCTCGCTGAGGTGAGCATTTACATCGCTGTCTTCATTACAGTGTAATGTTTGTAGTTTTCGACGGATATCTAGTTTGACTATGTCACTTTTATTTTCAAAGTGTTCAAAGTGTTTCGATAAGTCTGCCCATAGTTGTGATGCTGTTTTAGGCTGTCCAGAGTTTTCTATATGCAGGAGCATGGTGTTACGATAACACAATTTTCGGACCTTTCCTTCTTTTTCATTCTCCACTTTAACCTTGTACACTTTAGCTTTCACACATGGTGCCACGCGGCACTTCCCCTTTTGTTCAAACTCCTCTTTCTCGCGCCGCATTGCCTTCTTCTTATTTTAGATACAACTCTCTCACACAGTGGAGCTGGTCATGCGGGCTAGGCCCCATGACATCATCAGCCACTAACTTTATCAACTGTACAGTACATAAGTACAAACACTCTGTATTAGTATATACCCCAATAGATCCAGGAGACTCCTCAGCGAGTCCTCCTGTTGTATACCAACAAACTCTCTGCAGCTTAAAGGGTAACCACTCCCTCATCACTACCTTTATAGTGTGTTCTTGTGTGTGCCAGAGTAACTAACTCTTGGTTGTTACACATGGTGTTGCTTATGCAAGCTATGATTTGCTGTCGGATTATAGCCTCCTCTTGATTGTAGGTATCAATCTTTGTTTTGAAGGCTTCTATCTGGTCATCGGTAGCTACAGTCTTTCCATCTGGTAGGGTGTAGTTTCCACTACTGTCTACTATCAGAGTAGCTGGCAACTTAGCCTTTCCGTCCAAATGACGAGATAGGCCTCAAGCTGCGATGTTGGCTATTAGCCTTGTTTTAAAGGTGTTCCAGTTCAAGCCTTTGTCTTCTAACTTTGGGACACTTGATGAAGTGATTCCTCCGGAAGCTAAGAACATTTCTGCTACAGAAGCAGGGCTCATAACCTGAAGTGGTTATGTGTAAACCTGTTTAATAAGTAAACACTCAGAACTGTAATAACAGACTGTATTAAATCTAGTACCTGTTTAATAAGTAAACACTAAGTAGAAAGTCAATAGATGTCTAACTTGAAAACATATTGTTATAATGTCTCACCTCAGTACTGTAATAACAGACTGAGGTGTCAAGTGCTCAAACATGGAGAAAATAGATGCTGCGGGAATATCCAAAGATGAAAAAAGAAGTAGTTTCCCGCAGTTACAAATTTGTAAGTAATGTAAGTGTTTCTAGGTGGAGGCTCAACTTCTATGAGTGTCGTCTAATGCTCCAACAAGAGGTACAACACTTGTCTGAGTCTTTCTCCACCATTCACTCATCCGTTCACTGGAATCAGGGGAGGTGATGTGT